CGACTAAAATGATACAAGTGCAAACGGGAGTGCTGCCGGGACGCTTTCTAGGTCTCTTTTTACTTTCGCTCGCCTGCGCCCGGTCCTCTGTACGCTGGATATCTCAAGGGAGCACTGGAGGTATGTATGGTATGGAGGTATGGACTCGGTACGACATCACCACCATCTCCAAGATGCCTAATGACCCATGCTGCACTGGCACCACACGGACAGTTTGACGCAGTGAGACGGGAGCAGGTCAGGTTGCAGCTGCACCACAGACCGACTGAGTAAGCGCACATCACACGTACCTCACATGTACCGGGGGGCTTGACTGCAGCTGGAGGGTGCCAATGGATGTTGGGGAGACGTGATACCTACAGGCGTCCGGACCACGACTAAGGTAGGAGAAGGTACCTAGGTAGGTATGTATCACCTTAACCGTCCTGGAGAGCTCTCCCTCGCGTCTCATACTGTACCTAGGCCATCGGCCAGCAGCAGAGCAGATAAGGTATTGTTAGAGGATACCTTATGCAACGCGCCGCGCTTTGCACCAACAGATGGAGGCAAGGCCCGGGCAGGTTAGGTCGGCATCCGACTCGTCCCGTACATTCAGGTACATGCGCGCTCGCTTACATGTACCGGCTAACTGCCAGTGAGAACCGGACGCACAGGCTGATGAATGACAGGCCGCCGTGTCGCATCACCTGCACAGGGCCAGAGCGCCAACAACGGGGCCAGAGTCCAGCGGTGCTTGAGCTTTTGTGCCGGGCTTGCAAAATGCGCCCACGTCTGGCTCCTCAGTGCCTCACCAAAACCAATCATATGCCGGCCAACAACCTTGAGCCTGCGCCCACGATTCGACGCTCGGCGGTGGGGCGCAGTCTCTGGTGCCAGGAACGAAGTACATACTACTACAACTACCTACCTACAGTACAGTAATGATGTCGAGTACGATACTCGCGCATGCGCCAGCACTGGCCGGGGTCCTCCCGGGGTAAGTCACAAGTACCGGAGCTGCGTGCGGCACTGAGGCATTACAGGTGCTCCAAGGTACATACCTTGGTATTGGGTCGCGAGGTGAAGCAAACGGACGGCACGGAGCGCGAGTTGAAGCCGTCAAAAGTCGTCTTGTTTGATGTTGGGCTGCTCCGCTATTATATCACTGACTGACATTCTCGTGGTGAGACCTTAGCCTCAGTTCCAAGCCACCGGCACTTTGACAGGCGGGCCAGGCGAGGCATCAAGTACATGTAGCCTCTACCAGGCACAAAGTACCGGAGGGTATGACTGCAACTCGCGGCAGGATCGAGGGAAGGGGCCTTAAGGAAGTCGCTTGCCCTCTGGTATTTCAGACGAGGCTTTCGGAGAGAAACCATATCAGTAGATACTTCAACTCTCAAAAGCCAAATATCGCCATCATGTCGCCGCACAACACAACACTCCATGGAACAGCTCGCGCAGCCGCAGAAAGCCTGTTGACCGCTCTGGCAGCCTTTTCTTCGTGTCAGGTACTGTGGAAGAGTCTCAAGCACGGCAAGCTGCTGCAGGCTCGCAACAGCTTTTGCCTCTTCAGCTGGCTGGTCCCGCCTGGAGATAACCAACGACACGCCGTCGTTTGCAGCATGGCTTCGCTTTGCCAAACCTCTTCTGAATTATCTTGGGCATCCCAACCCGTCTGGCACGTGTTTGCTGCTAATCATCGGTCGATAGCGTGCGACTTGTCGCAGCCGCAAAAAGGTAAACAACGGCCTCCCAAGCAAGCCTCGGCTCCTCCCCCCCACGCCGACGATACCTTAACAAGGCTTGTGTTGTTGACCGGAAGAGGCTGGGCCGTGAACTCCCATCTCCTCTCTTCTGTCATCATCATCATCATCAGCTTCATCTTCCCCTTCTTGCTCGTCCCCTTCTTCCACTTGCTTCTATGCCTTCTAGCGTTTGCCGTGTCGCGGAAAGAACAGATGCCCGGCTAGGCGAGCCCACCACCGAAGCAAAACCCACCCACGAGCTTGCTTTGTCCGCTTCGTCTGCCGCCTGCACACACCATACCAGCAGAGACAAGGGCACAAACGCTCTCGATTCCGGACTCCACCGCCGAGTCCACCCCCCTAGCCTGGCCTGGCCTGTTCAATGGCACACGCAAGCTTGTGCAGGGCCTCGCTCAGCGGTAGCCACTCTGGATCGACCAGATCATCCGTTGCAAAGCACCAGACGCTTCACTGCTTGCCGACGCCGTCGGCATGCGCCACCCAGCAAGACTTCGTACGGAGCAATCCATTCATGCTATAAGTACGGATATGCCCAAGCAAGCCCTGGTTCCCTCCATCGCCGAAACATGCAAGCGCTGTTGGGTGGCTGGGCCGACCTTCCCTTCCCTTCCTCACCATGCTACAGCACATCATTTTGTACAAGTCGTGGGATCGACGGCAAGATCTTCAGGTTCAGCGACAATGCAGCCAGCCCCACTGCCAGCAGCAGCAAATCATGACGACGGCGGTGCGAGGATTCCGTACCGGTATGTGCGGGAGAGGGGCCCGTATCAACCAAGCTTTTTTTGTTCCGCAGCAATACGAGGGCCATGGAAGAGGGCTCGCCCGAGTGGCTGTAACCTGCTTGTTGGCGGCACGACGAGAGGCTTCAACGGCTTCTGCGACGTATTACATACGAGTATACTTTACTCGCGATGTCGCCCGTCTCGACAGACGCCGATATTCACCACTACTCTCCTGATCAAAGATAACGACCAGCTCAGTGTCGCAGAGTCTATCGAGGGGTCTGTCATGTTCCGCTTGGCCTCTTTTGCTTTCGATTTGATGTACGGCTACGAACCCCTGGAGCCACATGCAACATAGTCCTGTGCGACTACGTACGAGTAATCAAGGCTTGTACGGCATGCAATTCAAGGGCCAAACCAAATCGCACACATGAGGCTCGTACGACATGCAATTGCAACTACAGATGCAGAGTACGTGGTCGTTTGCTCTGTGCAACTCGCAGCTGCCAATCACCGTCCCTCCTATCGCCATCGGTGCTCGACGTGGGTTGCTACAGGTACGAAGTTGTGCGTGCATTCTCTCTCTGCCGTCACTTGTGGGAGTGCCAGTGCCGGTGTATAGTACCTGCTAACTTCGTACCTGTACGAGAAGCCCAGCGCAGTACGGGAATTGTTGCGGCATCTTGCATGACTCCAAACGGGTTGCAGAGGCTGGCTGGTCTGCTCCTTGCCGTGGCCGTTGCCTTCGACAACCTCTGAACCCTCGACTCTCTGCATCTGGCCTAGCCCACCGGAAAGCATGCCGTGTCTCAAAAATACCGCCGCCACTGTGGGAAACTGGCCACCTGGAGATGCGGGCGTATCTGCGTCAAGCTTGATTTGACTGTTGCACGACAATGCAACCCGCATTCTCGCCTGGGTGGTCTCTGCCGTGCCCAATCGTGCCCTCGGAGGGTCTCTTGGTTGGCAAAGCTCCTTTGGGCAGCTCGCACAGTGCCTCCTCGAATTACGGGCCGGTTCTAGATGGTGGTTGTCTGCAACGCTCTGCATTCTCGAGCTGTGACGGGCCCAAGATAACGCGGGCTGCCTTTGAAGAGGCTGCGTGCTTACCGGGTGCCTTTTTTGCAGGTTTCATCAGACCCCAATGATGAGTATCACATACTGCTACTATTGGGTACACCAGGTAGGTAGTGCTTTGTGCGACTGGCTACCTATTCCGGCCTTCATGAAACAATGAGACTTCTTGACCGGCTGTTCCCTCGCTTTTTGGCGCCCACATCCATTGTCGCTCCAGCTCAGTCACCTCTTTCAATGTCTACCAGGCACTGTATGTACAGCGAAAGCTCTGCGCCGCCAGAAGCTAAACCCTGGAGCCTCCCTTCCATTCCACAGCTCTGACACTAATAAGCGTGGCTAACAAGAGACCGGAAGTCTCTCTTGATCTCTCTCTACTAAGGTACTGGAACTAGTCGTCCAAGAGGACGGGATCGTCACAAACTAGACGGAGGAATGACGAACCGCGGAGGACTTGCGGCTGCTAACGCAACTAGCACAGCTTCTTCCCCTCGCAGCAAGCCAATGCCATTGTATGTGTGAAACACCGTTGAAAAGCTTAGAAGCCTCTTTGGTCGTCTAGCCATCCGTCCCATCCGGCTGTCTTTCAGCTTCCAGCACTCACATAATCCAGGCACCTTGCCAAAAGCAATCGTTACTATTCATCACTTGGAAACGCCTCGATAGTAGGTGAACACTGGACAGAAACAATGTCGTAATCTGGTGGGTAGCGCCCGTTTGCCGACCATGGAAAAGCCGTACCTACAACTAATACTCGACGCCCACAGCCGTGGCTGGTGAATTGACTTTGAGCCTCTCCCGAGCTACCATTGCACAAGGACTCTTAGCAAGCATCTTTATGCTCGTTTTGGCCTTTCGAGGTCAAATTGGCCATGGCTCAAACGAGACGGGCAAATGAGCCGCCACGGCCGAGATAGGCTTTTATAGAGTCGAAGCCTCCACGCCTAATGGCGAACTTGGAGCCCTGTACCAAACGTATGACCTACCTTACTTACTCTCCATCCTCCCCTCAGCCTAGGTTGTCTCTCTCGGAGAACATCAAATTGCTGCCTTGCTTCGTGCGAATACTCTTCTAGGAGGTACCTGTACATGGAGAAGCGGCATCACGAGGGACTCGAGTATCTAGGTAGTATCAAGGTCGTGCTCCTCACAATTTCTGTACAATGTAATGTAGGGAAGTATTCCACCGGCATTTCCGACCTCGATGGAGCCAAACGACCCTCCATGTCGTCTTCCGTGAAGCACGTGCTGGATCCTATGCTGAACCATTCGCCTTTGTTCCGCCACTGCCCTGCAGACAATCCCTTGTTCCTGGCTCCTGAACCCCAGATCCTCTATGCGTGTTGTGAAATTGTACTCGTACAAGATCTTGATACAATCGCACCTGGCCGGAGCAGCCTCCGTGGCCACTCCTGCCCAGAAAAAAAAAATAAAGTTCCCCAACGACCAGTCCTCACCGATAAACCTCTCTCCTAACATCATCAACGTAGACAATTTCCCGCGACGCTCCACGAGGCTGCTCAATAAAGGCGATCTCATCCGTCCCTCTGGGGGCTCCTCCCTGGGGCTCATGGTACCGGTCCAGTGGACGCATGCTAGAGGTATACTCCCGATGAATAGTTGGGGCTCGCTGCATGGGGCTACCAGCATACTCTCTGGTGTATGCCTGTGGGCCTTCAGGGTGACGGCCATCCATGTGGACATTGGCGCTGTATTCTCTACCAGGAGCGTCGGGACGTGCGCTGTGCATGCGGATGTATGGCATAGCTGGCTCGAAGCGCATCCGCTCGGGCGGTCGCAGGCTGGGTCTCCGCGAGACGTACTCCGCCGGTCGCTCTTCAATGATCCTGCCATCATGCGACCTCACAATCTGAATATATCCTCGTTGCTGCAGCTGATGGTCACTGAACTGACCGTCCCTCTGGTGGTCGTAAGGATACTCCGACTCGGAGACATATACTCTTCTGACGGGGTCGTAAACCGAAAGCGGCCTGGCATATACGACGCTGCCGTCGTTGTGCGGCGCAGGCCCGAGGTTGCTCGATATAGTCCGGGGTGGCAATCGTTCGTAAATCACCTCCGGTTCTCCAGATCGAGGCATGGGGGCAACGGATTGCCGGGCGGATGGGACCAGAGGCTCGACAAACTCTCGCCCGTAGGAATCGACCATGACCCGTGTGGGTGGCCGCGGGGGGACTATGAAAGACTCACCCTCTGGGCGTACACTTGCGCGGGGGCCCTCAATTGGCTCCCGATAGACGCGAATGGGCTCCCGATATGAGTCGTAGGGAATGACTTGTGGCACTGCAGCAGGACCATGAGCCTCTCTCGGAGGAGGAAGGGGATAGGATGTCGAATCGTGCGGCTGAGGCTGACGCATATAGCTTTCGCCAAGGGGAGCAGGGCGGGTATAGCCCTCACCAGGTACGCGAGGATCATAGGCGCTGTTGAGGCTTGGGCCCCCAGCTGGCTCGCCGCGTATGCTGGAGACTGAAGCGGCGTGGGGCAGATATTGCGTGGGGCCGGGTTCGTGGTAGGTTGCGGGAGCTCTCTCGCTCTGAAACGCCTGTGGCGATGGTTGCTCAAAGGTTGCGCTCGGTGGAGGCTGGGCGTATCTCGGCTCGGATTGTCCAGAGTCATTAGCATGTGCCTGAGATTGACGTTGCCGTTTGCTGGGTCTGTTGTAGGCTGGAGCCGTCATAGGCGACTGTGAACGAGGCTCAACTTTGATACTTGGCCCGGCCTGTGCCTCTAGCGCTTGCCGCTCGGCCTTCCTCTTGTTCTTCTTTCCTCTCTTCTTGTCTGTATCTTTGGCACCCTGAGAAGAGCTCTCAGAGCTGACAGGAATATCGAGCCCATGTCTGAGTGCCGCCACCTGCGCCGACGCACCAAGAGATGCGGCCAATGCTGAATCAACGACAGGCGTTTGAGCATTGACGACAGTTAAGGGTGCAATCTTTGCTGGCTGAGGGGCAACAGGTATCAAGTCATGGTTTCGAATGAGGGGAGGACCTGGTGGCAACGCAGGCCGAGCCGGGTCATATTGCAGCCCACTATCCCCTGATTCTTCAGTCTCCGTGTGCAACTCCTGGGTTGGCTCTGGGCGCGTAGTGATGGCTGGACCCTGCGAAGCTGGAGAGATTCCGCTGTTGGCCAGTATATGAAGACCAGGAACCCGCACCTGCTGGGGTCGGCTCGCGGCAGCAGTTGTCACCAGAGGCTGGACTTGGACTGGAGCCGGAGCCGAAGCTGGAGCCGGAGCTGGAGCCGGAGCTGGAGCTGGAGCTGGAGCTGGAGCTGGAGCGGGGACTTGGGCTGGAGGCCGGAGAGGGGGTCCTGCAGCAAAGTGACCATTCGCAGACGCAGAGGGTGCGGCGATATTACCATAGCTCGCGCCGACATGAGACCGTGGCAGAGAGGGCCTGCGGTCATCCGTCACCACGGCCTCATCAGACGAGTGGCGCACGCGCGAAGTCAGGTTGGACTCGGGCGTGTCATGCTTCGAAGAGTAGAAGGTGTTGTCGTCAAAAGAATCACTTGCAGCTTCATGATTAGCACTCGAGTCTCCGTTGGCGGAAAAAGGTATAGTAGTGGCTTGAACCAGAGTCAGGGCCTTGGCGAGCACATCAGATAGATCAAATTCAATGACAGGCTCTGCTTGCACTTGCTTTGAGGCTCGACGCTGTTCAATGTCGTCTCTCAGAGACCGCTCAATCCTCTGTCTCTGAAGCTGGATCTCGGCCCTAACGAGCTCGTCAGACTTTTCAAGTAGGATGGGATTGATCTCTGTCGTCCCGGTTCCGAATGGCTTTGGGTATTGGGGCCCAGTCGCCGGAGGAGCGCGAGCATCAGCTGGAGGCTGCGACACACTGAGAGTCTGATCTTGTTTGCCCGTAGCGAGCTTCTGCAGAGCTTCAGGGCGTGCGTCTACTTCGCCAGGCTCTGATGGCGGTTTCGCGAAGGTGGGGAGGGGGGTGGACAAGGCCTTGAGGCCAGGGGGAAGCTTGATGGATGGGTGATTGCCCGCAAGAATAGCATCGCGAAACCGCACAATCTTTTCGCATTCTTCAATCTCCTTCGCCTCCTTTTCGGCCAGAGAGGCCGACACAGACGCGCCTGCGCGAGCAGGGGCAGCCCGACCACGGTCTCCTGAGCTCATGACAAGCTCTTCAGCGCTGCTTTCTTCCTCTCCTAACGTTAGCACGACTGGGGAGTTGCCGCGTCAAGGCGCAGTGGGAAACGCGCAAACGTCTCGCGGATTGTCGAGAGGCGGCTCTTGGTCGAAGCTACGCCGGGCGCCTTTTCAGAAGAGACAAGCAGAGTATTGTTTGCCTTGTGCATCAACCATGGCGGTGGAAGGATGCGTGCTGATATATGTAGTGGCAGCGGTGGAAGGGAAGTTGAGGTAGGGAGAATATTCGGAGCGGGTTTGATCAAGTCGCTTGGGCGGTGACTAGCTCGTTGGGCAGAATTTGGAAATGTGGGGCGATCAACTGGGAATCTTGAGATCCAAATGAAATGTGTGTACATAGAAGTGCACCACAGGCTGTGACCCTTTTCACCTTTTTCTACAGAGTTTAAGGCATATAGAGCTTAATTACTGAGCTTGTTAAAGAGGTCTCCATTCATTATCTGCTCGTTAGAGGATTTACGTTAAGTGATGCCTCATTGCGAGTTCAAACAAGTGGTGTATTCTGGTGGAACCAAGTGGGATCTCATGACTCTTCGTCTCCGGCCAAGATGAGAGAGGCCCCGATGCGAGACGAGAGACACCTCGCAACAAAAGCTCAGGATTTGATGTCTACTTTGAGGCATCTGCATATCAATAAGTCGCGTATTTGCTCTGTCAGTGATATTCTTGGTGAATCACAACTCGAGATGTTTCTGTAAGAGAGCTCCTGGACTTCGCACTGTGGTTGTATGCGGCAAATGTTCAAGACTGATGAGCCTTACAACACATCTGGGGGATTCATATTGGGCATCGCTTCCTATCATATAAAGAAGGCTGATTTACAGTCAAGAGATCACCACTTTTGTACTGCCTCTGAGCGAGAATCAGCACACATCGTTGCTTCATCTGTTTTGAGGTTAGCAGTCATGAACCTTTCAGAGTAAAGCCAGGCGGATGATTCAGCAGCCACGACGCCTAACCGATTCTTGCATGCCGAGAGCTGGTGGCTGGCCGCTGAGTTTAGCAGTCTGTTAGCGACGCTCTAGCCGATGCAGGTTCGAGTCATCACGCCTCAAATCGGCATCTAGTGGCTAAGTCATACTCCGTACGTCTATCCTTTTCTCTTCAAACTAAAAGTACCTAGGTATATTAGACCGGATGCGTTGATATCATATAGGCTTCCATTTTCAGTCACAGCTCAGTCCGCCGCAAACCTCCGCCTCTCACTTCACACACTTCAGAAGAAGCATATCGGCATTTCGTCGCCAGCGATCCCTCATACTGCCTCGCGAGCACTACACCGAGTTCCGGCCTCTTTCTCTCTCACTAAGATGACTGTCCCCAACGGCAACAAATCCGGCAAGCCGGTCCTGTTCTTGTCAGTAAATCGATCAGCGTTCTGAACACCATGTACGACTTGGGTAGATGTGCTGACGATACTCAAGTGACATTGACAACTGTCTCTACCCAAGGAGTAAGAGCACATGGCGCAATATGACTCAAGACCCAACCGGAGCCTAACTGAGCGACAGGCAGCAAAGTGCAGGATCTCATGGCGGAGCTGATTGACAAGTACTTCTCGGAGCATCTCAGCCTGCCCTGGGACGAGGCTGTCAAGCTGCACAAGGAATACTACACCAACTACGGCCTGGCCATTGAAGGCCTGGTCCGTCACCACCAGATTGACCCGCTCGAGTACAACGCCAAGGTCGACGACGCTCTGCCGCTGGAGGACCTCATCAAGCCCAACCCGGAGCTGCGCCAGCTGCTCGAAGACATCGACAGGAGCAAGGTGAGGCTGTGGCTCTTCACGAATGCGTACGTCAACCACGCCAAAAGAGTGGTCCGACTGCTGGGCATAGACGACCTCTTTGAGGGCCTCACTTTCTGTGACTACAGCGAGGTACCTCTGGTGTGCAAGCCCCACGAGGACATGTTCAAGAAGGCTATGAAGCAGGCCGGGGTGGAACGAGTGGAAGACTGTTATTTTGTTGGTAAGACTGCCTCTCTGCCATTGGCGGCTCGACTGAGTCTCCGAGAACCGCCTATCTAACAACCAAGTAAAGACGACAGTTTCGCAAACTGCGCTGCTGCAAAGAAGCTGGGCTGGACGGCGGCGCATCTGGTGGAGGAGGATGTTCCGGCGCCAAAGGTCCAAGCCTCGCAGTATCAGATTCGCCACTTGCGAGAACTGCGACAAGTCTACCCCCAGTTCTTCAAGAGCTCGTGAAGAGAGGTACGACGGTTTGTTGGAATATAGACACAGGCGGTACTAGACATGGTAGGCCGCTAGAAGAAGAAAGGGTTTCTCCCAGCCTCGAAGAGTAAGATATATATAGATACCATGCGAATGCGAACTAATCGAGCATCACTCCGATAATCGCATCGCTCTTCAATAAACAATTACCAAGTCCATGGTCCTTATGGTTTCTAACCACCGCCCTCAATCATGACAGGTGCCTATCCTGAACGCCTCGCTACCTAAGCAAAGAAGAGAATGCCGACTACAAGAAAGACTGGATGTTCATGGCCGCCGTACGTTGCGTATGATGGCGTCAAGCTGGGTCAAGATGAGCTCCTTCTCCCTCAGTGCTTCCACCCGCTGTGCCTCGGCCGTCTTCAAGTCTTCTTCAAGGTCCCTTATGTGTCGCTCCTGGTCTTGTTCGCTGTTGTCGAGGCCGGGAAGGGTTGAGATGAGGACTTCGATCTGCTGCTCCTTCACAATGAGGTCTCGCGAAAGCTCGACTAGGCCGGCTCGAAAGTCTTGTGGAGGCAGGGCATCCACTGCGCAAGACGGTCAGCAAAGGTATACGTGCATGGATCTCATTGCTCATCTGTGGTCTTTTCACGCACCTTCTTTTGCCGCTTGCTCCTTAGGCTCGCGGATCTTGTCGTTTGGACCTAGTTTCTCGAGATCATGGCGCATCTGGACAAAGTGCATGCAAGCGACAAGCTGCTGAGCGAACTGAAGAACAAATACCGTCAGCCAGACGAGCTTGGCAAAGAGGAGCTCGTTAATGCGCCTCGCCAAGTACAATCCATACCTGATCAACTGCATCTTGTAGCTGCGTGAGTCGGTCGCCCATTTTGCTCTGCTCCAAACAATCAATCAAGCACCCAATGGCTGCAAGGCTGATGGCAGTGACGCGAAGAGGTGCCCATAAGGCTGTAGCACAAGGTTGTCTGGTGGGGTGCGGATTGTCGGCCGGGGAAACAGTAGCCGGGAATCGGGGAATAAACGATCCGGTCCAAGTGAACACATTGCTATCTGTCCATCTGGAGGTAAGCGCAGTGACCTTGTAAAGATGCCACCAGCTTGCTCGCTCGCTTCTCCAACATCTTTTCCAAGGGCCGACATCACTGCGGTTGTGCCTCTCTCAAGCTTGTTTCCCTACGCCCACTTCTTGTTGCGAGTCGGATACCTGCGCTTTACTTGTTATTGAGCCACGACATCGCCCAGCGCATCGCACAAACCATGGCCACGCCGCCGCAGCAACCGCCTCCAGGCGCAATGCCCATGGGCATGCCCATGCCAGGGCCTGGCTTCATGGGCCAGCAGCCAACGCCCGAGCAGATCCAGCAGATCCAGCGCAAGATTGCAGAGGACGCTCAGAAGGCCGGCATGACCGTGCCCGAGTTTATCGAGCACATCAAGCAGCAGCAGATGGCGCGAATGCGCGCCATGCAGCAGGCGGCAGCCCAGCAACAGCAGCAGCAGGGAGGACACGAGGGCCACAACCACCCTCATCCTCACCAGCATCCTCACCCGCACCCGCAACAGGGACAGCCGCAGCCCATTACCCCGGGCCCGCCGAATCCCAAGGGACTCGCCGTCGCCAAGTTCCTGCGCAGCCAGGACTTGAAGCCACGTACCTCGATTCTCAACGGCGAGCGCAAGGACATGTTCAAGGGTGAGTGTCTATCCGTATTCTGTCAGGCGCTGAGAGGCGCAAAGAAAGACAACTGCTTACCGAGACCAACAGTCAAGCGTGCTCTGCGAGCGCTCCAGTCCCCGGCCTATGAAAAGGCGCGAAAGAAGAACCCTCTGCTGCCAGAGATCACCGATCGAGCGTCCCTGGAGAACACCTTCAAGCTGCTGCCGCTCAGCATGCTTGCGCTCAGAGTCACCAAGATCGAGCCGCAGCCCGGCCCCAACGGCAAGAAGCCGAAGCGCGTCAAGGGGCAGTGGAATGTCAGGATAGAGCAGCAGCAGGAAGCCAAAGAGGACATGTACTACGTATGGCTCTGGGAGGGCAGCCAGGTCAAGCGCCAGCTGTATGCTGCTCTTGCCCTTGTCATCATCTTTGCTGTGGTCCTGTACCCTCTGTGGCCATTGAAGCTCCGCCAGGGAGTTTACTACCTGAGCTGGGGCATGCTGGGCCTTCTCGGTCTCTTCTTTGCCATGGCCATCTTCCGTGTTATTCTCTTCTGCGTCACGTACTTTGTTGTGCCTCCTGGACTCTGGCTCTACCCCAACCTCTGGGAGGACGTCTCCTTCATGGACAGTTTCCGACCCGTCTGGGCCTGGCACGAGGTCAGTACCTTTTCAATGTTGCCCTGCTTCTATCAATATGTGCAGAGAGCTAACCTATGCTTTAGACCGAGAAGCCAAAGAAGAAGAAGAAGTCCAAGTCCGTGGCGGCCAATTCTGCCGTGGCTGCAGCGACTGGTCAGGTCGCTCCAGCTACTGCAACGACTACGGGCACGGAGACACAGATCAACGTGGCGCCTCAACAGCAAAAGGCCTACGAAGCTCCCAAAGTGGAGGAGATGGCAGACGAATGAAGCGAGGAGAATGTACTTGTACGAAAATGAGCTGCGCGGGTCGCTCCGACGTGAAGCAGAATAAGAGTCTTAACCATGTATCCATAGACCTGGCCGCGATGCTTCATGGAACATGACGGAAGAGAATAAGAGCAACGAGGGTGTTTTGTGGTGTTTTATTGGCAATTAGAATTACTCGATGATGCTCCTTGAGGGCTGGCGTTTTGTACGAGTTATGGACAGGGTTATTTTTCTTTTCACACACACTCTCTCCCCCACGATGGCACGTCTTCGTCTGCGTGCTAGGTATCTATGCGCTCTCGCTGCCAGCTGCACGCTCGTAGTACCAGATGGCGCCGGGGGCCTTTGCGCAGGACGACAGGGAGCCGCCTGCGATGTCGGCACCGACTCGCAGCCCCTGATTGCGCTGGGCAGCGCCGTAGACGTGGTAGTAGTAATAGACCTCGCTCAGCTGGGTGCCGCCGTTGTCGAGCGAGCCCTTGCCGGCGTCGGTCTGGTTGTACTTGGGCCCGCTGCAGCCGATGTAGGGAACGGCGCCGTAGCCATGGGTCAGAGCGGCCTGGACGTCGGAGAGGGAGTAGGAGGTTGTGTTGGAGGGGCGGATGTTGGCGGCAGAGAGCCAGCCCCAGGTCGGCAGGGCCTTGTAGTAGGCGATGACGGTCTCGTAGAAGTTAAAAAGGTCGTCATACTTGCTAGCCTTGGGGCCCTGTTTGGCGGGTTAGAGGTTCTAATGCCTAGGGGGGGTTGATGGTGAATATAAGGGGGAAGGGTAGCGGGAGATGATCCTTACGTAGCACTCGGTGTCAAAGGTTGAGAAGCAAGTGGCGTGCTTGGAGAATTCGTGGGCCCAGAGCTCCCAGTTTGGGGCGTACTGGTTGATCCAGTACTTCTTCATGTAGGCCAGCAGATCCAGCTTGCCGTGAGGCTCGAAAAGGGTCTCGAGGGATGGACCTGTGTAAGGAGGCACAGGGGTGCCATCAGCTCTGCCGTTGGTGGTGTTGGGGGCAGGCTGGGGGTCATATTGGCGGCTACAGACAGCGCTGATTAACAAGATAATTCTCATTGCTTTGGAAAAGGGCAGTTAAAGGAGCATAGGTACCTGAGGTCGCAGTATTGGGTGTAGCTGCCATTGCAGAAGTCTAGATGACAGAGTCAGACTGAAGTCGAGGCGAGAGGCCGGCTTATACATACCAGGCCACAGGCCGTGGATGGTCCAGGTATAAGGCGGGAGGACCTGTCCCTCGCTTTCGAGGCCGGTGTGAGTGCTCCAGAACTGGGTTTGAAGCTGGAATACATGTAGTCGGTCATGTCAGCAATCTGTACAGAAATTCTGTCTCGCAGACGCGATTGAGGTTCTCTGTGACACATACCACCAGTCCTCCATAAGTCTCTGTGCAGCAGGTATCAACCTTTTCGGACACAGCATTCTCAGAGCACGACAAGACGGGATCGGCTATTGGAAAGCAATCAGTATTCGTTCCAATTGAAGGCTAAGAATCAAACTTACCCAGGATACACGTGTGGTTATCGGGCGTCATGTTGGGATACAGCCCAGCAGCAGCGAGCTGGGCACCCGCAAGCACAGCGAAAGCATTGCGATACATGGCTTCTGGTGTCGAGGTTTTACCAGGCGGATTGAACGTATGGATCGAATTCCGGAGCAGTCACTGAGCCAGTACCGCGATCTTGATCTACAGACAAACGAGCAAGATGAGAAGTAAAGAGAAGAAAAAAAACGGAAAAAAAAAGAGGGAAGAGAAGAAGATCGGCGGCTGCATCCGAGTCGCCCTCGTGGCTTTATAGATGCCATGAAAAGCGAGAGATAGCCATGACACCCCGGTCTATCTTGGCCTGCAGCGTTCACGCGTGCTGGTGCTCACTTGTGCTCCCTACAGACGCCGTCACCAAACGATCCTCCACCTCCAATGCGGTCGGGCCATGCAGGAAGCGGGATGCTATACCGAGCGTCCCCGGCACTCAGACGTCCGAGTTGGTGGATGAAAGCGCGGGCCCTTGCCAGGCGAGCCATGAGGAGAACGGGATAGCACGGCTGTATCTGGCTTTCGACATGCCGCTTCCAGCTAAAGGGCTCCTCTTCTCGAGCGCGGGTGGTCGGGACCCTTGTCAACGAACAAGTACATACATACCTACATGGCGGGAAGAGTTTTGCCATCAGCAGCTTTATTAGAGATGGACGATTCTCGGCGCCATGACTGACTTGGTGTTTTCAATGAGAGATTTCTACCTCGTTGTGACCCTCGGTCCCTGATCCTGCTTCAATTAGGATTTGGTGCAATTTCTGCTCTCTTTTCTTCTGGCCGAGTATGTGTTCAAGGTTGTTGACAGGGATCAGCGAGCCGCGGCGTCCTCCGTAGGTGGGATCTTTTCATCGGAACTTTTGAAAGACGCATGTTTAACTGCCAACAAGTACGCATAATACAAGGTATAGCTGTTTCCATGAAGACGGTACAGGCATCTGCAGTGGAATTACGGAAGGAGAAATGGCAATTGTAGATAAGGGTAGAGTCGAAAGCCCCAGTTCAACTCAAAGATCAATCCAGCCATTACATCTGAATACTATATCATACCGGCAAATGTGAGACTTGGCTTAGACTATCATTTACATAAGCTTGAAAGTGAGATTGCCTTGCTGCTCAGTTGAATTTTTCTTCTTTCTCGAAATGCCAAAACCTTTTTAGTTTCTCTCACCGAGGCCCGCCATCCAGGCAAGGCACGAATCCAGCCGCTGCCAAGGCAAGGTCTCGCCAGCCAGCTACCTATACATGCATCTTTCGCAGTAGCCTATATGCGCAGAACATAGTCCTAGCACGCACGTGGCTTCAGAGTGCGACCTTGGACGCTTGCCATTCGCTGCAATCACAGATCGTAGCAATATCCAGTATGCCCAAGCACCTGTATTACTATTGTTTTTATTGTTTCGAAGCAGTAGCACATGTGACAAAATCCGCTAACTATAATCATCTCTAAAGGCTGGCCGCTGCCATGTCAGTCACTGACCCTCGCTTTGCTCGCTGTCACAGCTGAAGAGTCTTATAGAAGAACGTGCCGTCCTTGAGTCCTCCAGCAGGACTCATGCCGTACCCCGGAACCTTTCCTAGCTCAGTGTACCCAAGTCTGTTGAAGACTGCTTCTGCTTGGCTGCCACTCTCCGTGTCGAGCAACTACAAAGACAAGGTCAGCGCAATGCTCTTTCTTTCATGCTTTGAAAATGAACAATACAAGTCGAGCTCGGGATGGATTAGAAGCGCAACTTACCAGTAATGTTCGGCCCCGACTCAGGGCCTCTGTTTCCAAGGCACTCATCAGTGCTCTCGCGCCGCCCTTTCCCCGGTGATGCTTGTGTACGAGCAGCTTCTCCACGTAGCCTCGAAATGATCCAGTCTCGGAGTATGGCATCCAGAGCATGACGACTCCTATCAGCTCGGGCCCCTTGATACGGCCGCCTGGATCCAGCTCGCTCACGAGGAGCAGCATAAGTCTCCTCCCATCGTTGGTCTCGGCAATGCGTTCCTTCCACCAGGAAAGCAACTTCTCATGTGACAGCGGGAGGAGAAAAGTTGCTATTGTGTGATCGTGGGTGATGCAAGAGGCGTGAATCGCTGCCAGGTAAGGCGTGAGATGTGAATGCAGCGAGATGTCGAACGGGATGACAATGCCGGGGGCAGGCATCTTTGCGAGAGTGTTGATCTTCCGAGGGCAATGGACAGATAGGATGGTGTAAAGGCTGATATAGCTGACTTCAGAAAGGGGTGTGCTGACAGCCGGTGAAACGAATACGTATGTTATTGTTCAGCTGACACCATCAAGCGTGAGTTTTGGTAGACGCTTTCCTACGTATATCGTCAGCTCTGAACTTCAAGCAGTGGTGAAAGCTTTGTTTTGTTCCTAGTAAACAGGTATTTTTGAGAGAAGGTGAGGGATACCATAGGCAGCTCATATTCCTAGAAGCATCGTGCAAAAAGACTTACCCGTCGATTTTTGCTGTATGACGTATCAATCAGGTCCCCACGTTAGTAGCTCTCTTATGCTAATGATTGTATTGAGTTGCTATTCACACCGAATGTCTCGTATCAGATTCTGACGTGAGTGACTAGACAAGTTCTTCTCCGATTATCGGCTGCTTAATAGAGGCAGTGAAGTTGAGGATGCAGAGCAGGGCTGAGGGCGTCTGGTGTTTGGCCGCTTGGAGAATTTTCAGTGGAACGGCAGCAAAAGCTTCTGAGTGGCTTGAATCGCGCCGGTACCTTGCATGAGATGAGGTCAATTGAGAGGTTAGGTAGGGTGTGAGCTCCAGTGGCTGATCTTTCTGTCGGGTTGAGTTCTAGTGCTTGTCAGCGGCGATTAGCGACCAACTGGAGCGCTGTGGCCCCTGAAAGACGGCGCTAAACAGCAGGGCAGCTTATCGAAAATGACGGAGCCCACGAAACCAGGTACTCGCGATGTGACGGAGCAGCGACTTGAGTATCTGATGCCAAAATGGAAGGGCAATCAAAGTTGATTTGTCTTGCAATACTGCCAGCATAGAATGTATGTACACGCAAATAACAGACATGTATCTCACAATGGAATTGAAGTTATTCTGTAGTGCCTTAGGTAATACCTGAGCGCGCAATTGGGGATGCTGGGAAAGAGCATACATGTAGAAAGGAGGCAGGCGCTGACATCAGAATTCTCCTCACTTCACCTCACCTCTCTCCGGCTTGATACATATAACTCCTCCTCGTTCAAACTGGTCCCCTCTGCCTCTGGCCGCTGGTTTCAACAGATATATTCCTCCTAGTCGATCTCTGGGGTGATATCACTCACTAGCAAGCTGGGGACCCTCCATTGAAAAACGCAATACTCCACGATGTCAGCTGGCCACTGGCCTTACTTGCAACAATCTCGGAACACATGATCGAGCTACACCTTACTCTGTGTCATACGCAAGCAACACTTACGCTCATGCCCGAGCTCTAAAGTCGCTGGCATCGACTAGATGCTCATGGCCATACGCAGAAGATCCAAGATCAGGGTCCGCTGCCTCTCCAAGGCTCGAACAACACTCGACCTGCTGCTTCTATTGGGGCAGTTGTCTGCCAGTCTTCCCAAGCGGACAGTCAACAGGTGGGAGATCTGCCAAGCACGAGCTGAGCTGGGCAAGGCTTGGTGCTTCAACCCATTGCCAATGCCATTCCCGTTAAGGTGTGTACTACTACTATGCAATTTGTTCCGAGCATTGACAGACCCATCATCTTCTCTATCCATCGTCCGCCATCCGTACATACCTTAGACTCACCTTTGTGCACGGGCTGACCTCTAACGAGGACCTTTAAGTGCCATTACTTTTTCAAGGCATATCCTGGTTCTTGTGGTCCAAGCAAGCAAGCAAGCATCAGCAATGGCCCAGCTTAGACCAAATCGCCGTGTTCTTGCTCCAATCCCCAACCCCGCACATCTGACTCGCCAGGAGTTGCCAGAGCTCCAGCTCTTCCCTCAGTGGACAAGGCGGGCAAGCGGGATTCACGCCGCCCTACGACAAGATGCTTTGAAGGTTATGTCTCCATTCAGGGGTCTTTGAAATGCATTGGCAACGAAGAAGCGCCATCCGGCCTCCCAGCCAATCAGCTCACCAACATCCTCCACCGCATCATGCTGGCAAAACGGATCTTCCGTCTCGTGCCTCTTTGGACAAAGTCCATCAGCACAAGCGGCCTCGCAAACTGACGCTCAGTGGCTGTGCTTGCATTGTCGTTCGATCCACTGAACCCAATAAGAAACGGGGCTCAGGACTCTTGGCCGCCCGTGATACGATGCAATCGTCAGACGCGCATGCGACCCGGCATGCTTGCACCCTGAATTTCCAGCAGCTCCGATTCAGAGCTCCTCCTCACCCCTCTTTACCCCCCCTCAAGTCCTCTGTGGCCGTGACTTTCGTACCACTGAACACATCTCTTGACTACCAATCGTAGTTTCGGCTTCATCAGAGCAGCTCTGCTTTTCGTGTTCGATAGCTCTTTTGTTATCTGTCATCATCATTTACTTCCTCATTCTCCAGCGTTGCGGCATCACAGCGAGCCTCTATCCGCTGGTTTCTCAAAACACCAACCCCCCATTCGTCGGTAGTACCCGATTTCTTCGGGTTGCCCCGTATCACAAAGCCTTCCGCGATGGGTCTGCTTGATAGAGTCGAGGCCATCTTTGGAGGCGAAGGTGATGCTGAACGGCACTCTCACTCGCATTCGGGCTATCAGTGCGATGAGCTTCACCCAGAAGAACACGTTGCCAACAGATACCAGTCATTTGTAGCCCCTTCTACCGGCAACATCAAGTGGTTTGTCGATGGCTGCTCCTACTTCTGGGCCGTGTCTGAGGCTCTCCAACGTAAGACCCATCTGCCTTTCTTGCTGAAGCATTCCACTTAAGGGTATTTCCACTAACACTTGCCTGGCAGGGGCGGAGGAGAGCATCTATATTCTCGACTGGTGGTTGAGTCCTGAGCTCTACCTTCGGCGTCCACCATCTCGTAACGAGCAGTATCGTCTCGATGTCATGCTTCAAGCTGCCGCCGAGCGCGGAGTCAAGGTTCACATCATAGTGTACAAAGAGGTCGAGGCCGCTCTCACTCTTAACTCTGCGGTATGTCATTCAGACCCTCGTGTCCTCTACCGAAGTACTTGCAAAACGTGGACATGGCTCATTCGTGAGGTGTATAGCACACAAAGCATGCCCTCGAGAAGTTGCACCCCAACATCAGCGTCTTCCGGCATCCTGACCACGCGCCGGCTGGATACGACATTGCTTCGGAAATCGGCAACTCGTTCAAGAACTTGACAAACTTTGACCTGGCTACTGTATCAAAGGACACGCTCAAAGCAATCTACGGCGCGGCAGATGATGTTGTCCTCTACTGGGCTCATCATGAAAAGCTTCTTGTCGTCGACCGTAACCTCGTTTTCATGGGAGGCCTAGATATGTGTATGTTAAAACCTCTTCGTTCATTATTTCTGTCCTCAGGTATCAGTGTCGCTAACCACTTTGCTTAGGCTTTGGAAGATGGGATACCAACTGTGAGTAGCAGTGTAGTGATATAGGTGAAAGCTTTCAGCTAACGCAAGTATGAAGCCCATCCGATTGCAGATGCTCATCCTGGGAACGTGGACAACACCATCTTCCCCGGCCAGGATTACAACAACGCTCGGATTTTCGACTTTGCCGATGTTGGCAACTGGGAGCAGAATCAACGTGAGTCAGCCCTCCGTCTCTACAATCTCAAACCACAGGATGCTAATAGCATGTGCAGTGGATCGAACCAAGAGCTCGAGAATGGGCTGGTCAGACGTTGCCTTGTCTATGAACGGCCCCATTGTGTCCGACCTTGTCACCCACTTTGTCGATAGATGGTACGAGAGACTCACTCCAAGCTGATTTGCTTATTCAACTGACCGATACAAGGAACTTCATGTTTGACGCCAAGTATAACGAGAAGGACCCCGGAAAGTACGAAAGGCTCAGCCTGCCCGGAGGACACCGCTCGTCACGTCGACGATATGAGCAAGAAGGATATGAACAAGAGGATTACGATCGACGAGAAGATGGAGAGCGAGAGTACGAACAGGATAGGGGCAGCCGCGGCATGTTCAGTCGCTTTACTGAACATATCACTGAGGAGATGGGACACCTGGGCATATCAGAGCGGCACCGATCCCATCGTGACGAACGATACGACGACGAGCGGTACGATGGCGAACGGTACGATGGCGAGCGCTCCTACGGCCGGCGCAGTGAGAGGGAAGCTACGCGCATCCAGCTTACCCGAAGGTATGTAGTAGCGATCTAACTAACAACTACATATACAGGGCAGCTTTGCTAAACTTGAGTCCAGCTGCTGCCCATGGTCATCCGGCCATCCCACGGAGCATTCTATTGCAAATGCATATGTTGGCGCCATCACGAATGCGAAGCATTTTGTCTACATTGAGAATCAGGTACGCAGCCCTGTTCAGCAAGGGAACTTGACCCCAACGATGCCGGGCATGTGCTGACCTATCTATCACAAAAAGTTCTTCATCACGGCGACAAGTGACGAGCAGCGCCCCGTTTCCAACAAGATTGGCGCTGCCATAGTTGACCGCATCGTTCGAGCCTACGAGGAGGGCCAGCCGTTCAAGGTGTGGGTGGTGATGCCCTCTGTCCCAGCTTTCGCTGGAGATCTGAAGTCCAAGGAAGCCCTCGGGACCCGAGCCATCATGGAGTTCCAATACAACTCCATCAGCAGAGGCGGACACAGCATCATCCAGAAGCTTGTCGCTGCAGGCATTGAAAACCCGAGGGAGTACATTGGCTTCTACAACCTTCGGAACTATGACCGTATCAACACATCCGGCACCATGCAACAGGCGGAATACCGCTCTGGCGTATCGTACGAAGACGCGCGAAGATATCACGACGATTACGTCAATGAGGAGCGCTACGGCGGTGATGATGGCGACTCTTACAACTACGACAGATATCAACGCCAAGCCCGATCAGTCCAGGACGACACTCTGGATACGGTGAGTTCCGCCTACATGAAGGACGGGCCCAATATCGCCGACATCCCCTGGGACGGCGCACCCGAAGACGAGTTCAACGCCTTTGTGAGCGAGCAGCTCTACATCCATTCGAAGCTCCTCATTGCCGATGACCGCGTCGTCATCTGCGGCTCCGCCAACCTGAACGATCGCTCACAGTTGGGAACCCACGATTCTGAAATTGCTGTGGTGATTGAGGGCCCTCGCAACCTTGAGTCTTACATGAACGGCGAGCAGTACGCGGCCAGCGAATTCGCCGCCTCTCTGCGAAGGCAAATCTTCCGCAAGCACCTCGGCCTGCTGCCCGACCAACGATGGGACCGACCCGACCAGAACTGGCTGCCGGTGACTGACGCACCCAACGACTACGACTGGGGCTCGTCCGCCGATCGGCTTGTAGAGGACCCCCTGAGCCCAGACTTTTTGAGTCTCTGGGAGGATACGGCCAGCACCAACACCGAAGTGTTCAGCCGAGCATTCCACCCCGTCCCCGACGACCACGTGCGCACCTGGGACGACTACGAGGAGTTCTTCTCAAAGCACTTCATCATCCCCAGCGCCAAGGGAGACGACAAGAAATCCGACGACGGAAACGACGACAACAAGGTCCCGTACGGTCACGCTGTCCGCGAAGAATTCCCCGGCGGTGTGCAGGAGCTCAAGGAGTGGCTGAGCCGGATTCGCGGCACCCTCATCAACATGCCTCTCCAGTTCCTGATTGAGGTTGAGGATATTGCCAAGGAGGGCTTGACCCTGAACGGACTGACGGATGAACTGTACACGTAGGCTCAAGTAGCGAGTGAATGGCATCACTTGGTCACTGGCTAGGTTCCGTCAACATGGCATTTGATGGCTGCGTGGGATATCTCATGACCTATTTACATTACAAAGGTAGTAACGACAAAATTCTAAGCAAAAAGCCATTAGTTGAACAATGATACTCGTATGCATAGGTTGTATACAAGAGCAATTGTAGTAGGCAATTCGTCCAAAGAACCACCAGAAGGTATGCTCGGGGACAAATAGGTGGGAGGAAGAAGAATAAAAGAGGGCTTGCATGATCCCCAGCCATCAGAGAGAGGCGCGGGCAGGAATTGGGTGTCTCTCGTTGGCGCAGTCTTCATTCCAGCTGCCGTCCGCGCATCAAGGGGCATTATACCACTCTACCGTTCTCTCTCCAGAAAGCAGAAAGCCGCCTCATGGTACCATACTCTGGGAGTAGGTTATCTCTTTACGCCCGATCCCTCAAAGCTCCTGTATACCTCCGCTCCTCTTAAGGTAGACCTTTTTGCCAGTCCCGTGTTGCTCCCCTATCCCTTCCAATAACTCCATTCAAGTAAACATCGGGGTAGAAACCCACATCGCTAGGCTCTCCGTATGGTGTACAATCAGTCGGCCTTGGTGTTGCCGTTAGATCCACCAAGGAACCCGTCCTTGAAATCTCTAATGCTGATGGAATCCTCGAGCCGGAAGTGGCCGCGTCCACGGCGAGAGCGGCCACGCAGCCAGGAGAAGGCTCCAAAGGCGATGCCAACGATGCAGCCCAGGGTCAGGTAGGGGTGCTCGGTGAAGGAGACGCGGATGTCGAAAAAGATCTTCTCGAAAGAGGAAATGGTGAGCTTGGGCTTGAGGGCCTGCGGGGTGTAGACGACCTTGTCGAGCGTCTCCAGGATGGACGTGCGGCTGACGAGGATGTAGTTGCCCGTCACGGTGCTGTCCCAGTACTTGCGGCTCTGTTCAAATGTTTTTGTTAGTCGTTCATGTTCGAAACGCAAAGCAATATTGTAGAGGGAGGACAAATGGGGGTGAGCTTGAGGCTTACATCTTGGTCGTTGATAATGACTCTTTCTCCGTCCTTAACATCAATGCCATACGTGGTTCGAATCCAGCGCTGCCACGCTACGCCATCAACCCACGCAAAGGCCACTTCTCTCCGTCCGGAATTGTTCATGTCAATATGGATCGCCTTGGCGGCCCGCAGGGCGCGCTCATCGTCTCGGTCCTCAGCTTCCTCGATCCTCATTTGCTTCGCGTCTCGCAGCTTCTTCCGCTCCAACTGGAACTCTTGGATTTGCCTGTCCATCCACTCGTTGGCTGCGCTCTTCATCTCCCGAAGAGCACTCTGGAAGGATTCCTGGTCTTCTCGATTCAGGACGCCGAGCACAACAATTTTGTTGTCCATGATCTGGCGGGCGTTGGTAACCAACAGTTCGGGGACAAGGGGAAGCCAAACCGACCTCATCCAGTCCAGAACTTGGTGGGTATCTCTCATCGCGTTAGGGGTGAGGGGAGGGTAGTACGTAGGGCGACCCTCCCTCGAAACCATGAATCTGGGCCATGTCGTGATCTTGAAGCGCTCGTACATGGCCGGATCCTTAGTCTTAACCAGTTTGGCATGTCCGATGAGACTCAGGGGCAGCCTCTCGAGGGCATTGAAGTCCTCCGATGTGGTGGCGTGGTCGTAAAAGTAGACAAAGATGACGTCTTCCTTCTGCTCGAGAGCCTTGAATGCTGCCAAGTCCACGTCAGGCACTCCGCTAGCGAGGTCGACGGCGTTTTCGGCATATTTGATAAAGTCGCCCAGGCCTCGGAGCCCCTCGTACTCTGAGCGCTCTCCACCCTTGAAGAACAGGATAGTGGGAAACGCCCGCGCACCAACGTCTTTGCACAATCGCGACTCCTTGTCACAGTTGACCTCTCCAATGTTGAGCTTGCCCTTCATGTTCTTCGCCAGCTGCTCCCAGGTAGGCGCCATGTCTTGGCAATGGGGGCACCACGGCGCGTAAAACTTGATGAACCAGGGATCCTGAGTCATAGTCACCAGGCGCTGGAAGTTTTCGGCCGTCAAGGAAACTGACACTCCGTCTTCGTTCGGCGTGGCAACCGGCTTCTTGGGCTTCTTCTCCTCGGTTGCGCTCCTCGATGCTGTCTCGGGCTCAGATTTGGGGCGCTCTTTGTCGCCCGGTTGGGGCAATGCGAGAGACTTGGGCCGAGATCCAGGCTTCGACTTCTCCAAAGCTTCTTCGATGAGATCAGAAAGGAAGGTGATGTTCTGGCCACCCGTTACGGCCTTGACCTCTTTGCCGTTCTCGTATAGAACCGTAGTGGGGTATAGCTTGACGCCATTCTCAACGCAAAGGTCGCTGTAGGCGATACAGTTCACGGCAGCAAACTTGAAGTCGTAGAAGTCGGTGAAGCTCGTGTCGCCAGCTCCTTCTGGCTTGGATGTGTAGTAGAATTCGTAGGTTGTCTGGAAGGTCGGGGCGTAGCTGATACAATGGTGGCAGTATGGACTAGACAGCGGCTACGCGTCAGCTTGAATCAGACGGGGAGTGGTGTGATATGGCTGAAGGGCTTAGTACCTGTAGTGCTTCACAAGAAGCCACTTGGTTTTGCTTGCCTCCTTTTCGAAGTTGTCTGGCGTTAGTTCTGTCAAGGGAGGCACCATGACGGAATCGAAGTATGTGGGCGCGGGGACGTTGTCAGCTTCATCATCTGCCAGTGCTGGAGATGACAGAAGGCCAAAGGCGGCCAGGCCAGAGAAGAAGGATGTTAGCCGCATGGCGGGCTGGTGGTGAATGATCTTGAAGGCGCTCGATGCTGGTGGGCAGGGCCGAGCCAAGGAGTGCGAATTATAACCAAGAGCGGCGGTTGCGACGCAATCCCGAACAGCTTCGCGAGCTAATCAAGATGCTGAAGGAGTAGAAGAGGAAGCGCTGCTTCGTGTCTGACGGCCAATGACTGGAATTCAGGTACGGCAAGGGTAACGACTCGAGGATCAGAGCAGGGCAGCTGGAGCCATTCGCGAGACTGGACGCTGTCTGTCGATGCTGGCGGTGACAGAGCAGCCCAAGCGATGCCCCGAAAGCGCGAGAATCGGCGACTGGGACCAGGTGGCAGCAGTAGCAGTTACATATGCTACTACTACTACTACTCGTTGCTCCGTGTTCCGTCGTCGTTGAAGATGTATGTAGATAAAGGGAGATTGGAGACACGGAGATGAAACGAAGTGGTTCGCCACACTGAGGCGAGTAGTGTGGCTTGAGAGGGGGCGCTGATTGGCCGACGCCGTTGCCTGGTAAGGAAGTTGGGAAGGTACTCCTCGGTGCTGTACGCCATGCACGTACATGCGGCTTCTCATTACCTACAGGTAGAAGGAGCAAGAGGAGATTGGATGGAAATTGCAACAACAGTTGACCAGAGCTTAACGTCTTCTCCTTCTCTGTTCTTTCCAGCTTCATGAACAGCAACTTCTTTATCCGCAAACTTCGATCGATTGCCTTTCTACCTTGTCCAAGAATCAAAGGCCCAGTAAGCCACTGTCGGAACCTGCAGGCTTACCCTAGGATCATGGACTGCTCTCGGAAGCGGAACCTGGACGATGAGGAAGAGGGGGACTTTAGGGTCCTCTCATCGCTATCACGTCCCATCAGTCCTCCGCGCAAGAGGATACGCCAGGGGCAATTCCATAAGTCGCCATGGCAGCTCACTCGGATTCGGGACCTGCCAGAAGAATTGAACAGAGATACTGTTAGGCTTCGGGATATCCTAGACGACCCTCTGATCACCGAGTGTTGGCAGTTTAATTTCCTTCATGATATTCCCTTTGTGTTGAGTGCTTTTGATGACATGGTGAGGAATAGAGTCCAGTTACACGTGGTCCACGGATTCTGGAAGAAGGATGACGAGAGCCGTATTGTCCTTTCGGTAAGTGGCCCTTGAACCATTCCCTCCTCAATCGCCGATGTACATAAGCAGACGTAGTAGCCCCCTTCTTCGCTCTACTCTCATCAACTCCCATTAACCCTTTAACTTCTACACACATGGGACTGACAATGGGCATCTTTCAACTGTTACGCACTGTAGGACCAGGCAGCTCAGTTTCACAATGTTCATCTACACTGCGCGCCGATGCCAGAGATGTTTGGCACACATCACTCCAAGATGATGGTCATCTTTCGCTCTGACGACACCGCGCAAGTCGTCATTCATACTGCGAATATGATACCCAAAGACTGGACCAACATGACCAATGCCGTGTGGAGATCCCCGAGGCTACCCCGGCTGGGGGAGCAGGATACCCTGTTCCAGCAAGGGCAGCAGCTTCCTGTCGGTAGCGGCACGAGGTTCAAGGTGGACTTGCTGGAATACTTGAGGCAGTATGAGCTCTACCGACCTACTTGCAAGCAACTGGTAGATCGCCTTGTCAACTTCGACTTCTCAAGCATCCGGGCGGCCTTCATCGCTAGTGTTCCGGGCAGGCACAGCTTTCGTGATGCGAGCAGGCCTGCCTGGGGCTGGGCCGCGGTGCAGAGATGCTTACGATGTGTGCCGGTCGAGCGCGGACAGTCGCAAATCGTGGTTCAGATATCTTCGATTGCGACCCTTGGCGCCAAGGATGATTGGCTGCAAAGGACATTATTCGACTCGCTTGCCACATCCCTGACGCCTAACACGGGGAGACCGGGCTTCAAGGTCGTCTTCCCCACTGTAGACGAGATCCGAAACTCAATCGATGGATACGCTTCAGGGCGTTCGATTCACACCAAGATCCAATCGCCGCAGCAGATTCGGCAGCTGGGATATCTCAGGCCAATCCTACACCACTGGGCCAACGATAGTGCAGGCGGAGCAAGTAAGTCTCGGTCGTCACAGTCGTCATCCTGTCTCCTGTCTCCTATGCCCTGAAGCAACTCAACTTCCTCGAGGTGATACGAGGACGGTGGTCATGACCATGAGAAAAGTAACCCATCTCCGAGTGAGTTGATACGTGGACTAACACATTGGATAGAGCTTCCTGGGGAACCGTCAATTAGCGGTGATAGCGGGCGAGACCGAGCGGCCCCGCACATCAAGACGTACATACGCTTCAACGAGAGCAACACCATTGACTGGGCCATGCTGACGTCGGCCAACATGTCAAAGCAAGCGTGGGGCGAGGCGCTGAGTTCCACCACGGGAAATATACGAATCGCATCATGGGAGGTTGGTGTGCTGGTGTGGCCGGGGCTGCTCTGTGAAGACGGGGCCATGGTGAGCTCGTTCCAGTCGGATACTCCAGGCGCAGCGCCAGCCATAGAAGGGCAGAGATCCGTTATTGGTCTTCGGATGCCGTATAGCATGCCGCTGCAAGCGTACGGCAAGGACGAGGTGCCCTGGGTGGCGACTGCAGCCCACTCGGAGCCCGACTGTAAAGGCTGTATGTGGATGTACCCGACTGGCGACAGTGCCTAGGTGTATGATGGCAGGCATGGGAGGCTCCAGGGGCAGAGCGCAAAGGAATACTGCAGGTGAACGGGAGAGATTCGAAGCTTGGCGGTGGTGTAAGAAGTCGCTGGGTGCATGAACAGCGATACTAGTGCGCCGGGACGCAGCGGTGGGTGGCAGTCTAGGCATGAATACTGGTGCGGGTGCGGCGCATACACAGAATTGCTCTCTGCCCTTTCGTGAACAATGTAGGCCCTCTCATGTCACTGCGAGCAGAGGCGCCAGGACACACCTTTGACTAGCAGCCGACAGGTGGTTGTGTTCCTTGAGCTGAGCTTTACCGCACAGAGCTAGTGATGAGATGGGCACATGGACAGAGTACCTTATGTTGATGTGCGGACAGGGGTTGCTGCTACGTACATGTACGACGCAGGTCTCTGTAACATGGATCAGTCCGTATCGACCACATCTAGTTGCAATGTGTGTGCCAGATGTAGCCGACAGGGCGCCTGGCTAAATCCAAGGTCAAGACAGGCTGGTGGTTGTTTAGTGCGAGTCCTCTGTGGTCTATAAGGTACTACACAGCTACCTTCTCCAGGCAGAGGACGAAATTGACATCATCCTCAACACGCCCTTTTGTCGTTTGGATAGTGCTATGAGTCGTTCCATGTAAGTCCATGTCTTTGTACGTAAGTGACTGGGAGGCACGTTGCTGCCAGCGAGCCGTGTGGATTCTGACGCAGGCCTGCCCAGCCCGAAGTCGCTCGTCCCTTCACTCGCGCTGCCCTTCTCCATCCTTTACCTGTGTACAGTATGGACTGCTAGTACCCGAGAAGCAAACTTGGGGTCGGTTACCGTTTTGGAGCAGTTGGAGATGGCGGAGGAGGTGTGATAGGCCACAGCCATCAGTGGTGGCCAGGGGCTATACCGAAGCTACGATATACTCGTAGGCGGGGGGACACCCCTCGTGATCATTCGGCGCATATAAACCGGCATAATTTTATACGCGGACGACAGTGGTACTGCGAAGGATAGGTAGATTTAGGCTTGATTTTGCAGTCACTAATAGTCAATGATGATGCTCGTACTCTGGAAACAAGGTACCTTTGACTCAAGTTGCAAGTATCGAGCTTTCACTGACAAACGGTGGCAGCAGCGGCGGCACCTCCGCTAAGCTGGGCCAACTTGGGAAAACAGGGGTGGCTCAAGGCCAGGTGGGAGAGTCGGAGTCATCATCGACGGGTCGTCCTTGGCGTGCGCGCGGGATGATGGATGGCCTTATTTCCCCTTGATCTTCTGGTCCTTTTTTCTCTTTCGATTCAGCCGCTCGGCGTAAACGAGGCAAAGCAGCCTGGTTTCAAGGGCATGTAGAAGTAATACTTGCCAGGAGGTTGATCCTGATTGCGAGATAGTATGGCGTCGATCGAGCACGCAAGCTGCATGACTTTTGACGGCTTGATGGCTTGATGCTAGCCCAAAAGAAACCTGGCTCTGAATTACCCGTAATACCCAATACCAAGTAAGTGTAAGGTATACCTAGGTAGGTGGTGTTAGACATGTCCATCAGATTGTGCTTCGTAGCGCAAGTTTGAACGTTGTGCGGCTTCATGAGGACACCCTCAGGCTTTTTTTTTTTTTTTTTACCTGTCATTGAGTGAAGGGTGCTCTGTACATCCACCTACATCTACGAGCACAGCAAGGGAAAGGTTTCAGGTACTGCAGCATCTTAGATTCCGCTCTGATCGGTGGCGTTTGCGGCGGACAGAATCGCGGAGAGGTTACGAAATGTGTACGACCTGATCGGAGCAAGGAATACCTACCTAGGTATGTTAGGTATGTTATAATCAAAGTACCTACCTCTAGGTACGTGATCTGTGTTGATACTGGACAGTACCTACCTAGATTGTATGTAGCCCCATGATAAAAGCAGCGGTACCGGACAAACACTGACACATCGCTGCGTCGCTCCTTCTGCCTGCCACATGTGGTAGCGCTACCTACCTTACTTTGTCGCATCACGGCGATGCTACCCGAGAGGGTCGTACTTGTGTTATGGAGTGCCTTAGTCGGATGGAGTTGAAGCAAGGTACCTCCTCCCGGTCGGGCTAGTACCTCCATTAGTCTGCCTTCTTTATGCCGTCAAGAGCTGTCCGAACATGGCACCTAGTACCGATGCGACGTAGTCCGAGTATACTAGCGATCGTGCTCATCTTCATCTACATCTTTAGCCCGTACAAGTAGCCGCAGCCAAGGTGAACTCGTTTTTCTCCCCAGCTTCTCCCTCTTCCTCCCCTTTGGCTTGTTATCAAGACCGTCTCCGGCCGTCAAGCCTCGTCCGACAGCTCTCCCAGACGCTTCGAACCATCGTCTCCCGTCTCTCTACCGTGACCCTTGCTGCCAGCTCTGTCGCACGCAAAATTCAGAGGGTGGACCCTCCCGAAAAGCTGGTGGCTTTTCTTTTCCTTCCGTGACTCTTTCGAATTCGTTTGGTTGATTCATTCAACATCAAGCCTCGACGACGACGGTTCCTCTCCGAAGTCTGCCTGAATAGATTGCGGTGCTATCTTTGCGACACCTTTTTGATAGTATCCCCAGTCGCACCATCTACGGCTGTTGCTGAGGTCGAGGGGAGGACCGACCTGAACATCTCGAGCAGGAAGAACAAGCGACACAGAGAGAGAGAGCGAGAGCTGTCATATCACCCAGGAGGGCCAACTGGTCAAGCCAAGTGGGTAGATGGTGGATTCCCGCCGGCTGCTTGAACGTCGACACTCGACTACCACGAACTTCCCGAACGTCCTCCTCCTCCTTCTCTTCCTCTGAAGGTAGGACTATATCACCATGAGTCCTGCGGCCAGTGGCATTCCCGGGCCCTCTGGCCACGATCACCCGGCCTTCCCGTCGTCGTTCCGTTCTGCATCTCCTCTTGCCGGACAGGTTCTGGCTCAAGATATTGCAGAATGTACCGACGACGACTTCGATCCCGCCGACGACCAAATCGACGGCGAACATAGCCACCACTTCATGTATCGCCGGCCCAGCGGCGTGGCCTACGGCGCAGCGCGGCCTGCCTTCAACCCGAACGGCCTGGACGAGCCCATCTTGACACCATTAGAGCGCAAGCAATCTCGCGATGCCGAGCGCAGCCTCCTGCGGGACAACCACGTCCTGCCGCCGAAACATAACAACAAGAGCCAGTCGATTCCCGCTCGAATCTACCGAAAGATTTTCAGCACCAAGGTCCCCGTCGAGGAATATGAGGGGGAGTCAGAGGACGACTCGCCGCTACTCTCCCGCGATGACGACCTCGACTATGGCACACGATCCCGCCGACAGAGACCCGTCCCTGAGGGCGAAGAGGATGTGGACGAGCAGTGGGAGGAGGCCATCACGACGGGGCGCATTCGCACGACGTGGCAGCGCGAGGCCAAGACGGTTCTGTCCTACTGCGGGCCCCTGATTGTCACCTTTTTCCTCCAATACTCCATCAATGTGGCCGGCATCTTTGCGGTTGGTCGTATCGGAACCATAGAGCTGGGAGCTATATCATGTAAGTCAGCAGTCATACCCAAATACTACGCAAAATATGCAGCCACCCAAAGAGGGAAAACGAAACTGACTCGTCGATGTCGTGTACAGTGGCCAACATGTCGCAAGCCATCTCCTGCTTGGCCCCCTTCCAGGGCTTGGCGACGAGTCTGGACACCCTCTGTGCCCAGGCTTACGGATCTGGCCACAAGCATCTGGTCGGCTTGCAGTGCCAGCGCATGGCGTGCTTCCTCCTGACCCTCTCGGTGCCCGTCATCCTGCTATGGCTATTCGGAGCCGAGCCGATCCTACAGCGCATGGTGCCCGACCCGGAGTCTGCTCGCCTTGCTGCCCTCTACCTCCGCGTCATGATCTTTGCCATCCCCGGCGTCATCTTGTTTGAGTGTGGCAAGCGCTTCACGCAATCGCAGGGCCTCTTCCAGGCCACGACATACGTTCTCCTGTTCGCCGCCCCCTTCAACGTCTTCCTCACCTGGTTGCTCGTCTGGAAGCTGGAGTACGGCTTCATTGGTGCGCCCATTGCCGTGGCGATTACGGAGAATATCCTGCCGGTTCTCCTCTTTTGCTATGTCCGCTTCGTCAATGGCCGCGAATGCTGGGGCGGCTTCAGCAAGCGAGCGCTCAGCAACTGGTGGGTCATGATCCGGCTGGCGCTGCCGGGTATGATAATGGTCGAAGCCGAGTGGCTCGCTTTCGAGATCCTGACTCTCCTGGCCAGCCGCTTCGGGTCCGATTACCTCGCGGCCCAGAGCGTCGTCTCGACGATTGCATCCATCTCGTACCAGATTCCCTTCCCCATGTCCATTGCCGCGTCGACGCGCGTGGCCAACCTGATTGGCGCTGGCCTGGTCGACGCAGCCAGAGTAACTGGCAAAGTGGTATGTGCTGTTCCTATCTTAAGACGAAGCGACGCGAAGTTCACCTCACTGACGTTTTGCCCAGACTTTTGTGACGCACTGTATCCTTGGACTGCTCAACTTTGCGCTCTACAGCGGTCTTCGATACCACCTGCCGCTGCTCTTCACAGACGACGAGACGGTGATTTCCATTGTGGCCAGCATTCTGCCGGTTGTCGCCGTCATGCAGGTTTTTGACTGCCTGAGTGCCGGCGCGCACGGATTGCTGCGCGGTATCGGCAAACAGAGCATCGGCGGGCCGGTCAATCTTATCTCGTACTATGCCGTCTCGCTGCCCATTTCGCTGGCGCTGGCCTTTGGAGCCAACTGGAAGTTGCAGGGCCTGTGGGCTGGTGTCAGCGTGGGACTGTTCTTGTACGTCGAACCCTCTTCTTCTACCCGTGATGCAACGCGGTTTTGCGGTACTCTAACCTATTCATGATGGTTACAGGGTCTCATCGATTGAATATACTTATCTGCTCAAGACAGACTGGCACCAAGCAGCTCGAGAGGCTGCCGCCAGAAACGCAGCGGGCTAGAAGCCGCGCGACTGCGTACGTTTACTTATACCAGGCCCTCTTACCCAAGTCAACGCATTGTCCAGCATGATATCCATATGCCGTGGATCAAGGAACAGCACCACATTAGCCGCCTTGACGACTCGCAAGCGGCAGAGTTGTGATGTCCTGAGCGAGGAGAGTTTCTGCATCACCATTCACAGGGACTGGGAAGCGGCGGAAAGACGCCTTTCCAGGAATGAGGCGATGGGCACCGGCAGTGGACAGGTCTTGTTTGGATAAAGCGGTTCTGGATAAAAGGGCAACACAGCGTCGCTTCATGTTTATCTCATATATGCACATCGCATAGTGAAGTACAAAAGATAATATTGAGAACATTAATGACCTTTCACTGTTTGAGCTTTCATGGTATTACTTATTCTCCTATAGCTGGGTAGCTAGCTGGGCGGCTACCTGTATGGCGTTTTTTACCCCTTTGCAATCCGCCAGTCACTAGGAGCAACCCTTCCTTCGATTCAAGTTCTTTTTGACTTCATTTCTCTTTTCCTATTTCTTGTGTCTTAGCTGCCGTATTCCAGACCCATATACACCATTGAGCCGCCCCTTTGAAGTAAGGTACCATGAAAAAAATTGTTGGAAATCCAGTGAGAGCAGCTCCCTTTTTCGTTCCAATGAACCACGGCGCAAATAGAGTATACATGACACACATTAGACAAGACCATCGAGTCAATATTCTTTGACCTCACAACCATATCAGCCCTGGGGCTTGTTAAAAGCACTTTGATCCCCCTTTTCAGCTGAGCATGGAATGTGTTCGGATGGCTTTGGGGCCGTGTTCACTGTTTGGTAAGAGAGAGGTTAGCAACCTTGCCTCAAGCCGCAACAATCATGGGGGAAAATAACTTACTTGTAATCCACTCTGCTCAGGCTCATTGACTTTTGGGCCTCAATCGCCTGAGCGTCCATGTTGGAGTGCAGGCAAAAGGCTATCCTGGCGGCCACCTGGGCGCCGAGGAACATGGCCTCCTCGAAGCCGTTCTTGCTCCACTCGCTCAGGTACGTCGGCAGCGCAATCGTGCGGATGCTGGTGGGCGTCTGGCTGTGGAAGTGGTGGCCGCTCGCGGGGCCCGCGGCCTCGGAGCCGACCATGGGCGTCGACCCCGTGGCGACCTGGATCGTGTCACGGCCGGGGACGCCCAGGGTGCTGGCCGTCGTGGCCGCCTGCAGCAGCGGGTTGACGCCGCTGCTGGCGAGCTGGTGCGGCGCGCCGCTGAAGGAGCCGACGGGCGTCTGCGAGCCGGTGCCCGCGGGCGTCGCCACGTTGGACGGCAGCTCCGACGTGAACATGGTGGCCGTCGACGGCGAGATGAGGTGCCGCGCGTTGAGCGTCTGCAGGATGTTGTCCTTGAGCCCGCGCAGCCGCGACCCGTTGCCGACGAAGACGAGGTTGTCCCAGCACGCCGGCCGCATGTACATGTCCTCGACGCCCTGGATCGTGCGGTAGATGGTGCTGACGATGCGGTCGATTTCGTCGCGGTCCGCAAACAGGAACCGCTCCAGGCCGACTTCGATCTCGCGCCGGATTCGCTTGGGCCTGAGCTCAGGAGGCTCGCCATTGTTGGCGTTGGCATTGGCATTGGCATTAGTATCGGCATTGGCGTCGGTGTTTACCTTTGCGTCGGCGTCTGCGTTGACATCGGTATCGGCAGCCTTGCCTTGCTCACCGTTGACGGCGTCGGCAGCTGGCTTGGACTCCGTGACCATCTCGATGTCATCGCCATCGGGCTTTGGCTCCTCGGGTTTTGACACCTCAGGCTTTGATTCCTCGGGCTTTGATTCCTCGGGCTTTGATTCCTCGGGCTTTGGTTCCTCGGGCTTCGGTTCCTCAGTCTTGATAACGGGTGTCTCGGTCTCTGTGCCGGTCGTTACAGGGGCAGGCGCCTTAGATTCTTCTTCTGCCTGTGTTTCTTGTGCTGCCGGCTCCGGTGCTGATTCAGCTGTTGGTTCAACTGCCTTTTCTGCTGCTGGTTCATCTGCCTTTTCGGTTGCTGGTTCTGCCGCCTGTTCTGCTGCCTTTTCTGCTTCTGGTTCTGCTGCCGGTTCTGCTGCCGGTTCTGCTGCCTTTTCTGTGGCGACAACCTCCTCGACAGCGCTACCCTCGGCATTCTGCGCGGGCGCGGGTACTGGCGCCGGCACCTCCTTGGAGACTTCCTCCATGACAATCTCTTCGTAGGAGAACGTGTTGCGCACCTTCTTGGAGTTGGGCTGCCGCAGGGGCCGCGCTTGAGCTGCCGCGTCGCCGTCCTTGTCCTTGTTTGACTTGCGCCCAGGCTTGCCCTTTTCCTTTTCCTTTTCCTTCTTGGCAAGGAACTCCTTGGTCTGGCCGCTGGTGACGATGCTCGCGACGTCCAGCACACCATCCTCGTCAACGTTGGTGTCGAGGCCATCATTGTCCTCCATGATGACGTCCTCGTCTACTGCCGGCTCGTCAGTCGTCGGCGCAGGCTGAGCGGCTGCCTCCGCGGCGGCTGCTACTGTTGAGTCGGCAGCGCCTGATCCTGGCGCGGCGCCTTCTTCTGCCGTCGCGCCGGGGGCTGCTGCTGTTGAGCGTGGCTGAGACTGCGGTGCGTTGGATGACGACTCGACGGGGAGATCCATGAGTTCCTTCTTGGTCGGAGCATAGGGCAGCACCTCGCAGATGCCGCTCTTCTTCAGCTGTTCTGCCATGTCGTAGTTAAAGCCCTGCCCCTCGAGCAGTTTCAGCAGCTTCCGCGTAAAGACCTCTCCGCCGCTGATGAACCGGTCGGGAAGCGGCCTACCGAGGTCCATGTGGTTGACGACGCGGCCGTCGTGGATGGCGGTGACGTCGACCTTTTCGTAGCCGATGTCAACGACGGTCATGTTGGGCCATTTGAGCCCGTACTGCGTGGCGATGCCGCTGTGTATCAGGCAGAGCGCGGGCGTCTTTGTCTTTTCGAAGATGTAGCGGGCAATGGTCTCGCAGTCGGGGCGCGTCCACTGGGGGGATGCCATGAGCATGATGGGGGTGTTGTGGTATGTGGTGGTGAGGAGGCCGTGGACGTGGTCGAGGAAGGCGAGGAAGGCGTCCATCTGGACGATGCGGCCGCCTGTGCATATATGTTAGCCAATGACTCTATCCATAGAGATTCTTGTTTGATCTCTCCTAATTCATCGTATGAATTCGACATACCCTCAATTGGCCACACGGCGCCCTTGTCCTCGTCGACATCCTCCACCCACTCCTCGTGCTCGACGCCGTCCGTCACCGTCGTCCGCTTGTACGTGTAATACGGCCGCCACTGCTCCGGCTCCTCCTCGTCCCGGAACATCCTCGTCGGGATACGGTGGGCCGGCGGCGACAGCTCGCCGCAGCCCAGCTGGGCCATGGTCGTCCTACTACCGGGGCAGATGATGAGGATCTGCTCCTCGCGCCATTTCCCCCCGCTGGCCATGGTGCTTGCGGGCGGACGATTGACGTGACTGCAGGTACAGATGGGGTTGGTGTTGCGATTGCGATTGCGGGTTCGTGTTTGGGTGTTGTTGTTGCTGGCAGCAGCAGTTGTTGTTGTTGTCGTATGGGTGTAGGTGCCGGGATTGTGAATAACACAGCAACTGCCCTGGAGGTGAGGATGGTGCCGCTGCCGCTGCTGCTGCTGCTGGAGATCGCGCTTCTAGTGGTCGATGCTGTAGCTGAGCGGAGAGCCCGTGCGAATTGCCGCTGCTGCGCCGGTGCCGGTCGTCCTGGTGGGAGTGGGATTCGTGAGCTGCTGCTGCTGCTGCTGCCGACGCGAGGGAGTCGAAAACGACGAGCCTCGAGATGCTCTTCGCGCGCGCAAACCGTAGCGGTGTGGCGCAGGCGTGGGTGTGGCGCACTCGCTGTCGTCCGGGTCTGTGGCGGTGCGACCTGTGCCTGGATAGAAGCGCCTTGAAGTCGGGGTTGGAGTGGGAGACTCGTCCGCGGCGGGAAGGGGAGTATGAAAGGTACTATTGTCAAGCCTCTGTTGACTGGCTTGATACTGTTGTTTTCGAGGAGTTCTGACGGTGGTGCTGCCCTGGTTGGCTTGCGGCCTGGAACTGCTGCCCATGCTGCTGATGTTGGTTTCACCACCATGTGGTTCGTTTCGCGACATTGTGATCTTTTCTTCTGTTCTTCTTTCTTTCTTCTTCTTCTTCTTCTTCTTCTTCTTCTTCTTCTTCTTCTTCTTCTTCTTCTTCTTCTTCTTCTTCTTCTTCTTCTTCTTCTTCTTCTTCTTCTTCTTCTTCTTCTTCTTCTTCTTCTTCTTCTTCTTCTTCTTCTTCCTCTCTCCTTTCTTCTGCTTGGCTGTGCTGCTTTGCGAACTAATGTGTTACTTCATTCGTATGGTTTCCTCAGGTCATCAGGGCATGGCTGGGAATGGCAATAGAGCGGTTGTAGAAGAACCAAGAAGTGAAAGAGCCAACTGCAAGAGATGAACCAAAACGTAGTGAGTGACGCGGGCAAGCGTGGAGAGGAGTGAGAGTGAAGTGTCCGTTTGCCAGGAAAAGAAGTGGTTCGGCAATGGTTCCTCTTTGAATGGTTCGACCAGTTTTTTGTTTTGCCAGCCACCAGCCGCCAGATGACTCGACCAGCTGCCATCATGTGTTGACAGCCAGCGACGGCTGCATACCTAACTCTCGCTGTTTCTACAGCTAAGGTACCTTATGCATTGCTTCACAGTTCCCTAAACATTGGGTGGGTGCCTACCAACCTACATGTACTTACACATGCATCACTTCGTAAGACATTGTCCATGTTGAGAGTTGCAGAGCCTTGAAAGGCAAGACAAGCCTTCCATTTCGCCTCAATTAGCATTAGTAAAAGAGATGAACTACGAATTCTGAACCACCACCAGAAGATTCCATCGCTGTGTCTGCAGTATATGTTCGCAGCTTCTGCTGCCTCATGCCTTGATCGTCCTCCCGTGGCGTCACGTAGTCATACATCCAAACTGGTTCCTCCAGTTGTCAAGTCTGCGCAATGCAACGTCCCCTCATCGCTCCATGCATCCACAAAAACGGTCCTCCGTATCTATGGTTCAAAAAGTGGCAGGATGAATCAAATAGGTTCGAGAGAAAAGAGGACAGGGAAAGGGAAAAAGGGAAAAGGTGCCCAAAAGTCTCCAAACGCCATTGTGTTTTTTTCCTCGTCAAAGGTAACCCAAGCAAGCACTTCATTTCTGGAAGCTGATAGCGCCGCCCATAGATCTCGATATGGGGAGTAGATATAAAAGAGCTTTATCCCAGTAAAGATCCGCACGCCAACTATTGCTAGAAATCCCAGGAACAGAAAGAAGAAAGAAAAAGTGAGATTGAGAAGAACTTCCGATGAAAGGCGCAACGGGGGGGTAAGTGATGATTTCGTGTGATCGTCCTCCTGGCTGCCTGGGGATATAATGCTGTCTGTCTGTCGTCGTATCGCGTAAGTAAACTGTCGTCTCGCTTTCTAATTTGCCGCTGTCATCGCGGGTCTGTGGGTGGCATCTTCGGTGGGTGTCGACAGAGAGTCGTCAATCTCCTCTGGTTCTTGAACCGCTTTCTTAAGCGTCTCTCCGACGGTCTTATCCTCAGTCAAAGAGAGTCTTCGCTCAGAGGTGGGAGTGGTCACCGAGGATCCATTGTCGCTCCAGTGATCCTCTGTCACGCCAGTGTAGATGGATGAGGTGTGTTTCTTGTTGTTCGATGCGACATCCGAGGATTGGGCCGGGACGTCGTCGTCGGCCTCTGAAGATTCAGGCTTGTGCTGGGGCTCTTCTGCGGCGGCATCGCTCTCCTCGCTATCAGAGTGCTCAGCCTCATGCTCCTTCTGGTTCTTTTGGGTTGCCTCTGGCTTGTGGGCCTCTGGCTTCTGGGCCTCTGGCTTCTGGGCCTCTGGCTTCTGGGCCTCTGGCTTCTGGGCCTCTGGCTTCTGGGCCTCTGGCTTCTGGGCCTCTGGCTTCTGAGCCTCTTGCTCCTGGTCCTCCTGCTCGGTCGCGGCCACGGCGTCAATGTTGCTCAGGTCGACGTCCTTGTCTTCCACGTCGCCATCGCTGCTAAACGTCTGGCTGAGGGGGCTCTGCAAGTTGAGCCCCTCGCCCGCAGCGTCCTTGTTTGCAATGCGAGACATGCGAGCAGGGCTGCGCGTCGGCAGAGGTGGGGGTACACGCTTAGCGATTGTCACCACATTGCCCCGGGCTTGGATCATGCGAGAGGAGAGCATCTGGGTGCTGGTTCGCTGTACCGCAGCGACCTCAAAGACCACGGGCTCTTCTCCTTCCATGTCATCGTCATGCAGGTCGTCGTCGCTACCGCCATCCTCGTCCAGCCCTTCACCTTCGCTCAACTCTCCGTGGCTCATGGCATCTTCTTCGAGGAGGAGACTCTCCGAAATAGACACGGCATCGCTGTCGCTTAGCTCTGCTTCGTCCGCAGAGTCAGGACCAACGGCCACGTCCCTGGAAATTCTATGCTGAGAGACGTCGGCGAGAGACTTCGTCTCCTCCTCGCGCTCCTCGTCACTGTTATAATCGCCAGCCTCATCTTCGCTGTGTTCTTCCTCCGCCTCCTTCTTCACGCTCTCCTCGTCTGTCTCGTCCTGCTCATGCTCCTCATCTTCCTCCTTCACGGAGGCAATGTACGCTGGAGAAACCCGCCCGTTGCTGTCGCTAGGACCTGGGCTAGGAGACGTCGCGGGCGTGTTGCCCGTGTCAGTCTGCGTACCGGCGTCAGTGACCTGGCTGCGGATCGTACGCATCGACACGTAGCTTCCCCGGTTGCTCCTCGATACAAAGGTATCCATGCTCTGCCGGCTAAACTTGGACGGAGCAACGGGGCTCATGGGGGCTTGGTTAATGTCGAACAAGCTACTTGTTGGGCGTATGCGAGAGCCAGCCTCCCGGATCTCAAGGCCTGCCATTTCCAGCGCCAGGACACCAAAGGGATCGGGATCATCCGCTTGGGGGATGCCAAACGAAGTGTGAGGAGATGCCGGCATGGACAGTGCCTTGGGAGGACTCGTCGTGATTAAGGCGTCGCTTGGCGCCGGCTCGGCGGCGACCTTGTTGATGACGGAGTTGTCGTAGTCGGTTCTTCCCTCGGCCATCTTGAGGACTTCGTTGAGAGCAGTCGTCTCCTCGACATCACGGGCAACGTTTCCGGCAAGGATATCCATGTGGGTGATGTCGTTGGAACCGTAGAAGCGCTCGTTCTCGTTGCTGCGCTCGGACAGCATGCAGCCATGGAGGTTGACGAGCTGCTGCTGGCCTCGGGCTTTCATGTACGTCAGAACGGTGTTGCCCAGCTCTTTCCAGTTGACCTCGGACTCGTCAGAAACGAGCGAGACGGTCTCGCCAGAGCGAAGCTCAACATCTTCGCCGAGCGTCACTCTGGGTCTGCTGACGGACTCGAGCGCGGAGAGACTGGTGATGACCAGCACACAGTCGTAGACGTCGACGCCGATGATGAAGCTGAGAGTTGGGGTGTGAAGCATGATGCCTGAAGGCGGAGACCAGGTGCCGTCGGATTTCCTGGCAATGAGAATGCCCGAGCCGCCCGAGCCGGTCATCCATAGACCGCTTCGCATGCATGTGAAGACGGCAATGCCAGCGGCATTCTGCATGATTCGTTTAGGGATCTTCTTGGGAATGAGGTCTAGCGTTCTGGTGCCCGATGAGGTGGATGCTGGAGACATCGGCACGTCGGTTTCGGTAGGGGCGAAATAGCCGTCGACTGTCGAGTCCCGCGTTAGCATCTGCAGTCTTACAAGGTGCGTACTATAGTAGTATGTAGATAAGTAGATACTTTGGGCTCCGAGCCAGGGCAATTGGTGTATGGGATAGTGAAACAGAGGACCCCGATCCGTCTGGATGAAGAAGCGCACACGGACATACCGCAAAAGGACTTGAGGATGCGGGCAGCCTTGTCGCATTCAAGGTCGAGTGTCGCGGGCCAGAAGGCCTCTCGCTGCACGCGCTTGCCCTGGATGCCGTTGGCGGCGTCGGTGTTGATCTTGGAGAGGCCATTGGGGGGCGGAGGCTGCGACGATCGGTTGGGCCAGCCAAAGACGCTGCCAGTCTTGCTGGAGCTGCCGGAGCTCCTCCGGTCCCATGAGGGCAAGAAGGCAGAAACGCGCTGCATGGCTGCGGTGTCGAAAGGGGGTCGGAGGGGGGGGGCCTCTCGGCCGTTCAGAGCAAAGAAATCGTCACCGCGCCGCCGGGAGGGTGGGATGGGGTTGAAGGGGCAGCAGGAGGAGGAGAAGGCGGAGAAAAAGAGGACGGCAAAAACAGCGAGGCGGGACAAGCAACGATTGGAGATGTCATCAGCCGGCCGCGGTCGTCGACGCTGCCACCACGCAACTGATGAGGCCGACGATGGTGGTGGAGGTGGTGAGAAGGAGAGTTCTGGGTTGGAATTCGGCGGCGAACGAGGAGGAGCGCCTCAATGGGCTGCACCGCCCTGGCCGCTCAGAAGCTTACAAGCTCCACAAAGGTGCAATCTTTTCCAGGTTCCAGTGCGTAGTACCACACCAAAACGGACCTGCGCAGCGCTGAACCGGGCCTTGCTGGGGGGGGAAAGGCATGGAAGCCACACAGCTAGGTACTGATCCAGCCACTAAAACGGGCACGGCACTCAGGGCGACAGCGCCGGACCTCAGCCTCCAAAAGACCAATTGAAGGGCACAGCAGTGCCGGGCCCCCTTGTGCTGGCTCCAGGGCGCGGGACCGGATCTGGTTCCAAACCTGGAACCATGGATGGATGACATGGAACCTGAAGAGGCACAACCGGGCTGTCAATCTAGCACTACAAGTATGCGCGGCTGCTGCTGTTAGTGGTCACCTAGCAGCGCCATGGTCGTGACGCTATCGCCTCGTAATACTCGAGCAGATGTTTAAAGAAGAGAAAGAAAAAAAAAAAATCTTGCTAGCGGGAGCGACGGTGGAGGGAACTCTGGAAATCTCCTCCTCCTTGAAGCCTCCATCTTGACGGCTGGCTGTCCTGCCTTGCCTTGCCTGCTCAGACTTTGCTGGTGACCGGCTGACAGCGCACTGATCCATCATCTAACGTGCCGCGCACAGCGACTGGGCCGCCTGGAACAGGGACCTCCAGCGAAGGACCGGGCGAGGACCTGCGAGGCTCTAGCCGCAAGGCTCCACTGCCAGGGGCACGCCGCCGCTAGTTTGAGAGCATCGAGGCTCCTCGGAGCGTCATGGCCGTGATTTGGGTGCGTCTGGCGTGTGTGCGTGTGCGAGTGCATGTGTGTTCACTTGTTCACTCATTCAGGCTCGTTCACTCCTCGAATTTACATTACAGGGGGGCCAGAGGCCACATGCATGCCCGTCTGCCATGCCATGCTACTGTACAATCAATGTCATTATTCGTTCATCGACTCATTGCCCGATCATCCATATCTGCCTTATTTACGTTTCCAGCTCCAGCGGTGTTTTGATACGCGAGCACAAGCAGCAGCAAAGCGACATCACAGGCAAACACAGCTGAGGCATTGCCCTCCGGCTCCCGACTTCATCTCCCGGCATTGCAGTCTCCTATTGTTTGTTTGTTATTTTCTTCATCCGCGTAACCCCCCTTCTTTCCGTTTGCCGTCCCGGGGCGCACGAGCGGCGCATACGCATACGCACATGCTTCGTGCTCGCGGCCTGAAACACCAAAGCCCACCGAGACAACATGGAAATGGAAATGTAATACCTACTAATAACACATGTACATGTAGTAGGTAGTATGCACATGTAAGTACGTGCACCGTCTCGGCCCTCAGCCTCGCCCTCGGCGCGCGTTGTTGCGTTTTGGCGCGCGTCGTCTCATCTCAGTCAATTTCATTTCATTTCAGTCCGTCTGGTCACCGACCACAGGCCATGTCGTGCAACCGCAACCTTTTTGCCAGCCATCTTGTCTGTTGATGCTGTGCGCCGCAGCCAATCACGCCACTCTTGCTGTCGTCCACATGAACCAGTTCGAATGGCTTCTGACTGATCAGATCAGCAGTGGGATTGATTTCATCAGGAGCAGGGATCTTCACTCTGCCGCCCCCCCTCCTCTCTTCTTACGTTCGTACTTGTACTAGTAATCTGCATACATGTTACAGTATGTACTGCACATAACACACCACACTCAGATACGAGTCACAGCACCATTGGCCGCAAGAGATGGCCAGCCTTTTGCGCGTGTCGTCACACTCTTCGTATTGCGCCCAGCCGAGGCCTCTGTAATTACGAACGGAGACATGTACATAGGTATCAGACAAACAACAACAACAACAATAACAACGGGTACGAGGTACTACTACTACTACTAATATCATGTACCCTGCTGATCATTGAATCTGGGAGACGAGAGGGAGAGACATGCATCAGGTACTACACAAGAAGAAACAAACAAAAGTCTCACAGAGTTGCTGCTCACATAGCTCAGCTCCCGTCAAATCTCCACTCGCCATGCTTGCAGGGACATGCTCGTACCAGTTGACTTGAAATCACAGACAGACACCTCCACTCAATCTGAGACCCTTTATTCTTCTTCTTCTTGCCCCAAAGCTCTGCTTCCTCGTCACCTCTCGGGCAAGCAATCCGAGCTCGTCTCACTCTGCTGGTGAGTGACCTCGACAGCCTCCAGCTCATGGCATCCTCCTTCTGCAAGCCCATCCAAAGCCGTGAACAGGAGCATATGTCATTTCACTTCATCCTCCCACCTACATGACATCTGATCCTCTGACTCTCTGACCCTCCCCAAGCCTTCTCCCTCCGTCCACTTCCCCTGCGTGGCAATCAGACGATTAGCGCGTCGATTCGGGTCACATTGACGTCGCACTGCAGGGCCAGGCCGTCCACTCGAAAACCGATCGCGGCTACGGGAGCCGTGCTGTTGCGTGCTAGTAATTGGAATTAATAGCGGGACGGGCATTTTCATGAACCAAGGCGTAACATGGCAAATTAGACGAATAATAGGGCTGCTGCTAGACGATCGGGACGTGAACACCTTGGGCCCTTGATCCTTGCTCCAACTGTCTGAAAGGCTCCAGCTTTTAAACGCAATACCATACATGCTCCTACCACCTACATGTAGTACATGATACCCCAATGAAGAGGTATCTGAGCTCTGTGGGACCCGTCACAATTCAATAAACACTGACACCAGGAGACCAGCCAGCATTCTGTATCGACATCAACTGATTTTTCATAGCGCTGGTAGTCTGCTATTGCCGTTCCCATTGTCAGCGCCGAGGACAATAAGCCAAGCTTGCCAGGCTCCAACAAAGCTCGGTTCACGGGAAGCGGGAGAGCTGCAGCTGGAGCTGGAGCTGGCCCTGGTTTCGTGTTGCCCATCCACTCAACTCCTTTCGTGCTGCCGCTGCGGGTGGCGGGCAAGGCAATTCCCGCAATCGTCGCTCCCCCCAATCTCTCCTGGGACAAACCCTGTGGGATGCGGACGGCGCACAGGTTGGCCCCCGTTGCTGCTGCTTTCAGGTACCTTAAGGTACTGTATGGATGCATTGTCTGTGCCAGCGCTTTTCGCAGATGGGCTGAGGTACACTGCGCCTGCGCCGAGATTGCCCCAAAAGGACAACCGACACAATACATGTCATGTACCTGCCTACATATTCGTTCTCAGAACTTGTGCGACTGTGATGCTGGTTTCATCGCTGCTGTCTTTGATGCCCCTGCATGTAAGGTAGAGCTTGGTGGCATCCAGATGTCGCTCCGTTGTGCCCACTAAACTAGGTACACAGGTCAACTGTCAGCCAGAGAATGACACCGTGCTCATCCCCGGCAGTGTCTCATTCATTGATGAATTGGGCCTGATACACATTTGGAAAAAGGCAAATGGATCAAAGCTGGACTGTAGTATCAGACATGCTCATGCAACTAATCGCTTGTTGATGGTGAAGAGACGAAAGGGAGGTTGTCTGCCGGCCAACCTTACTGCTAGATATGACAGCTTTTACAGTAGCTTTCTTCATCCAAGCTTCTCAAAGAATGATGAACACATCATGAAACAGGAAAACCCTTTCGATTATATACCGTACAATACCTTGATAGACACCAGCCGCAATAGCTCGTTTAGTATGCATATATGCAAGCCGATGACAAGGCATCTCCTGTGGACATCATCCGACGATGGTTCAGCTTCCCGTTTAGCCAAGGCAGACGATCATCACATACAGTATATTTATATCGACCATGTCAGACCTTGGTTCATAAAAGCCCCTCGGAATCTCGACTCTTGACAAGACACGCCTTTTCATTGTATTGGCCAAGTATCTCTTTGGAAACTGTCACAGTCGTATCTTAGGATTGTAGCTGTTCATCTAAACCAACCAATTTCAAGTACAATGCACTTGAAATTGCGAAATAGAACTGATGTCGTAAAGCTGTTCCTTGAGTCTCTTCGCTCCAACTCATTATCATCGTCGAGAGAGACTTCTACATGCAACTCCTCGATTGTCCAACAATGCGAAACAAAATCAAAAACCGATAACACAGATTCCATCCAGGCCACCTTAAAGTAGCCTACATACAGGCGATACATATCGCAACGCACTCATGGGGACGTGAGAACTCACTGTCGGTCGTGTCTCGTCTATAGCGAGGACAACTTGAACAGGAAAAGAAGCAAAAGTACATGCTTAACAGATTCCTCAAAGGCTAGGTACATGTTCTGCTAAGGGGTACAAGCTAGTGGAGTGAAAAATCATCAGACGTCGCATCACCAAGTCATCGCAACTTCGCCTCCTCATCTCTCACCTCGCAAACAGCCTTCCACATGCCTCCAACTGCCGTACAATCAATTCCATCACCATCTCATTGAACCATCAATCTCCTTCTCACGACCACCTCAAATCTCATCTCCACCCTTAATACCGAGATCATCACGCCCACACGCCACAGTCACAAAAAATTCATCTCAGAAATGTTCAAGTCAGCCATTCCCTCAAACTGAAACAAAGCGCTGCAAAAAAATAATAATACATATTTACATAAGAAAACTTACTCTTCCATATGTTGAATATAGGGCCTACAAGAACCTGTCACCCAACACCCGCCTGGGCGTCGGCGTCGCCGTCATCGCCTGGGGCATCGCAGGGCTGTACATTTCCGACAAGGCTGAAGAATCGTTCGGCTTCACACCGACCGAGGAGGACAAGGCTGAGCTGCGCAACTTGGCGCCCAGAATCACCACTGTGGAAAAGACCAAGGACCAGCCAAGATGACATGGGAAAATAACGACTAGCTCACCGATCGACCTCAAGAGCTCTCACGACATCACTAACCAGTCTCTCTCGCGCAAGAACAATGGACTTTCATTTCCAAAGTTTGCAGAAACGGCGTACTCTCGTACTGCCAGCAGTATCACTCATGAAAGGGCAAATGTATCATCAAATCGCATTGTCTCCTAGAGGCTGCTACTAGAGACACCTGTAGTTGTACACTGATTGGGCTGCTTTTATTCTCACATATACTCTGTACAGTTCATCCATGAATGCCCGCCTGTCTTTCATCCTCCACTCCCACCGGCCATTCCGTCCCATTCTGCTTTTCTTTTGTCATCCTTCGTACCTCCGGGAACACAGCGTAGAGCCACACTCATTATTGTAGCCCAAGCCGAAATCATGAAATCGTACCAGGTAACTACCATAACCGGCCAGGACCTCCCCTCTCTATATCGGATCGAAATCTAATGAAATCAACTCCACAACCATCTATCCGGACTGAAAATGCAATGTGCAGCACACGAAGACGCCACCGATGCCGAGCCTTATGCATTGCATGACAAGTCCAACATGGGGTCTTGTCACGCGCATGGTTGCCCATATCCGCGATCCAGTCGTTTGCGTTGTCAAATAGACGAGAATAAAAGGAAAAGAGAACAAAGAAACCAGACGTTGAGAGGAAAGGGAAGTCGAAATCGAAATCGAATCAAGCCGAAACTCCTCAAAATGCAATCACCCTGCGGTTTTTTTTTTTTTTAGTCTTCCTTTTTTTGTGTTGTTTTGTTTTGATCTTCTCCTTTTTCTCCTCCCCAGTTACAGAAAGAATCGACAGTATCGATCGCAGACGCAGTCAATGTAATCCGACAATCTCTGCCGCACAGCTAGGAGATTGTATACCCCTAAAGCCCCCAGTGATAGGCTTGAGGATATCCCTCCATCGCTGGCGAGGTCAGCTAATGCCAGTGGTACTTCTTGCATACCTAGTAGTGAGGTATACCAGTACCTGTGGCAGACAGCCGGACCAGTGAGAGAAGCATCAGCCAGAGATTTTACTCTCCAGCATGTCGGCACCAAAGGAGGGCAGCTTCCACGTTCTCAAAGTCTCTCGTCTTCCCTTGTATCGCGGGAGGGGGGTCCACATGGGGACGCCACAGCTACTCCTGGGAATTAGGCTCGGCCTTGGTTGCGGTCTGTGTCTGTCCGTGATTAGGGGCTGGTAGCAGAGAAGGGTGGATTGGAGATGGATGCGCACCAGCCTGGAAGACCTGAGACCAGTCAAGGCCCGGTTGTTGGTTCGGGTTGGAGCCGCCGTACATGGGGATACCATTCTGACCAGGAGGCATGCTGTAGGTCGGCATCTGCTGGTTGGCCATGGAACTGGACACGTCGCCGCCGTACTGCTGGGAGCCGCCCATAACAGGGCCGTTCATGTTCCTCCGGTCTGCATTCCCATCGTCAATTCGACCCATGCTGCTTGATCGCGAGAGCTGGCTCTGGTCACCTGTCATGTTGTTCATCCCATCCTGAACGGCAACGATGCCAAAGGGGTGCACAATGTTGTTTCCTCCCATGTTGCCAAGTCCGTTCAAATGGTTCAGATCTTGTCCATTCTCAAGAGCGGCCTTCTGCGCCTGCGCGTTCTTCTTGACATGGGCCTGAGGGTGGGACAGATGGCTAGCGCCCGTGGGGTTGCCGCGGCGGATGGAGCACTTCTGGAAGTGACGCTTGAGGATGTCGCTTCGGGAGAAGGTATCCCGGCAGAGGACACACATGTAGGGGCGATCACCAGTGTCTAGAGAGGAAAGCTTGGTCAGCACGCAAAGACGCCTTTCAAACGATAGGCAGCTTCATCAGTGGCAGGCAGGGACTTACGGCGAAGCAGGTGGCGCTTCAGGTGCTTGGCATGCAGATACGTCTTTGTGCAGTGAGGGCAAGGGAATTTGCCGTCGGCATCCTTGACAGGGATGACGGTGTTCTTTGCGCCAGTTCCCGCAGCCTGGGCAGTAGGCCGTCCAGGAGCGCTGGGCAAGATGCCTCGGCGACCCTGAGAACCAACGACGTGGGTCGGCTGCTCGCCGTCCGGGAGGATCGGGTTAGGCTGCATCAGAGAACCCGGGCCGTAGGGCGAGGCCACACCGGGTTGCGCCATGAGACCACCGGGAGGCATTGGACGCAGGACAGGAGGACCGCGGCCGCCAACCGGCGCAGGAGCAATCGGCTGAGGGTGAGAGACGGCAGTGGTGGCCTGGGGCATCATAGCGGCAGATGTGGCATATCCCTGGTGAGGGTATGGGTTCTGTGCCATTGAGTAGATGCCAGGGCGAGGACCAGGCTGCGACGTCTGCTGCTGGTAGCTGGGCAGGTTGTTCTGCGTAGGCGTGTTGGGAGTGCCTGGGGTTCGCGGCGTATGCGGGTGGCTACCGTAGAGCGGCTGCATCGCAACGGTGTGAGGCTGCAGAGGAGGAAGCGTCTGCGGCAGAGGAGAGCCGGTCTGCAGCTGGTGAGGCGAGATGGCAGTGGGAGACGGGTAAGTCTGCGCCGCGGATGTCGGGACGCCGTTGTTCTGGTACTGAGGGTTGTCCATGATGCTGCGCGAAGACGCGTCGAGAGACGACGTGTGCTGTTGTTCTTTCTTTTTTTTTTCCCGACTACCGCAAGGGAGACAGAGACAGCGGATTCAACAGGCTGCGACCAAGAAGCGGGCAGCAACGTCGAAATCGAGCAATTGGCGAGATAAACACCGACGACGACGCGCTGATGGATCAGGAAGAGTTCGAGAACAAAGGATGAAAGCGTAAACGCGAGTTTACAGTCTTTCTATGAGGCCCACGCGTGATGTTGCGAGAGGGCTGCGGCGTTCTGGGGAAGGTGGAGGTGAGGCTCTGGGTATAACAGGTCCCTCACGAGAAAAGTTGGTTAGGTAGGGAACAGTTGGAGTGGGGTGGAGAACTGGGTCTCGTTCCTTTTTTATCCTGGAGAGAACCTGTCAGTTGGCTGCGAAAAAGGCGAAAGTATTCCGTGGAAGAGGGAAAGGAAAAGAAAAAAAAAATCAAGTGCCAAAAGCGTGGAGGGTGCGAGAAAGGGCGCTAACAGGGGGAGGGGGGTGGAGTGGCAACAAGCGCCATTTCAGGGTGCCGAAAACACCAGTGCAAAAGTGGGGCGCTGCAGCAACAGTGCAGCGGTGCAGCCAAGAGCAGTGCAGTGCGCGGCAGTACCGAGTACCTGTACAAGCACCAGCGCGCGTACCGGTACCGGTCCCCAAGGTCGAAGTGCTGGGAACAGGGCAAGTGTATATCGGTGACCGTTGGCAGTTGCAGCAGCGCGGCCATTGCGAGAGACCGCGAAGACGGCCAGTGGCGAGTGGAGCCAGAAGCGCTATCAGGCGGTATCGCGAAGGCCGCAAGCAAAAAAAGGCCAAAACTTCGGACCGGGGGCAGCACGCTGCAAAGAGATGCAGAAAGACACAGCGGGCAGGGAATTGGGTTAGGGTTGAATCCTTCTAGCAGGATGGGAATAAGGCAATGGGTACGGGCAGCTCTGGTGCAGGTAAGGGTTCTGGCGGGCAGGCTGGGGCATGGGCTTGGAGGGGGAGGGGAGGGGATCCAGCAGAGGCTGTTTTCCCTCTGCTTGTGTGGTGACCTTTTTTTTTTTTTTTTGGAGAAGGCAAAAAAAGACGGAACGGCGACCGAGGGGCCCTCTTTTGTCCACATACCTTGGCAGTACCGCGCGGGTCGATATCCGATGGCGCAGAGAAACCAAGAGGCTTCTGGCTGTGCAAAGCAGACGCGTTCAAGGGTCAGGCGCGAGAGACAGTGGACGTCGATGCTGAGAATCGACGAGGCAATGAGAGAAGACGAGTGAAGAAGGTGGGAGAAGAGAAAAAGGACGAGAAGAACTCGAGGGCAGGAGGATAGTTGTGCTATCGCTGTGATTTTAGCATACAAGGTCGCTCGGAAAAAATGCGGCGAGCGCAAGGACGCTAAGCCAAGCACAGATAGGTAGGTACTCGACTCGGACCGGGAGGAGGTACTTCGACATTGCCTGCCCCAAAACGCGTCGGACGAGGGGAATTGAGAAACGCAAAATCAATACAGGCAGTAGGGTGGCAGTAGACAGTACTTCCAACCTCCTTCGTATTGTGAGGACAACGTACAATTACGGCCCGGCAGCTTACGACGTCTTGACATCAGAACAACAGATATCGGAAGACTTGATAACAAGTATTTGCCTCAACTCATAGAGCAATTGCTAACAAAGTCTCATCTCTGGACGTTTTTTTCGCACAGTCGCAACAGTCGTGGTGTGTCCAAGAGGCGGGGCCTGAGGGAGGAGGGAGGTTATATAAGGTACCTAGTGCTTCAAAAACTCCAAAGTTTCCGCTAGATTTCTCTCCATCTTCCTTCTATTTCCTCTCCTCCTACTATAGTTTTCCTACCTAGTATCTAACGCTCTCATTGCGCCATCTATCCATCTAACACTGAAGCCACCAGATGGAACAAAAAATTTTGTCGTGGCGTTTTTTCGAAGGGTAGCCGTAACAGTACGCAGACGTGGCCGGCGCTTCTCTCACCTTCTTTTCCAAACCACTACCTAGTAGGTAGGTAGCGCATCATCGCCTTTTCCGAACCTGTTCTCGCTCTTCGGCTCCGGCGAATGTTTGTACGTACCACTACCTACCTACCTACCTACCTTAGGTAGGAACTGTGCTGGACAAATTCAGCGCACGGGGCTCGTCGCTCGCTGTTGTCCTCCCATTTTGCCATGTACTCGGCAGAGGTACCGTGTACTTTTCAACAGAGGATGATCGGTCGCGCAACTTGCGCGGTACTTCCAGCGTACTTGCGGCATCATGCTCATCACCTGCCGCATCCAGCCGCCGTCCTAGGCCGTTGAATGTACCGGGAGGTATCATGGATGAGGCAAAGGTTGGAACAGAACCCCTTCCCTGTCCATCGTCCTGCTGTACATGCTACTAGGTACCTGTAAGTACGGTGTCTTCACAGTTCCCTTCACTCTCTCCCGAGGGTCTTCTCAGTTTC